AAGCCATAAGGTATAAATGTTATATATGGTATAAATGTACACTTGTGAGAAACACGAGTACATGTGTAGGCATACTAAAAAGAATTTAATAGAATCTAAAATAATACTCAGTCATCAGTGTACCTGAATAAATAAATAAATATTCAAAAGTAGGTGTATTGTTAATAACTCAGATTGGAAATTTGGTCAAACCAGGACAGTCTAAAGGTTAGGCATATAGCAGAACTGAAGAAACTAAAGGCAGAAAACACCTTAAGGAAACTTCTTGTAGACCTCTGCATGGAGGTGAGTGTTAATAATAAAACAAAACTCTCCAGAAAAGCCACATGCTCAGTCACAGGACTGTGTCCAGTAAAGAGAGAGTAAGGGGAAGCTACCTGATGACATCAGGTCTTTATCCTTTTGCCATATCACTGTGTAACTAGCTTGGCAGAAATGAAGATATTCAGAGAGTGACAATTAATGCTCCTCAATTTGTATATCTCACTATTGAAAAGATGGGCCTTAGGGAATTGGAATTTCTCCAGAAAAATGTCATGTTGGGAGAAAGCCTAAAGCCTGAGCCAGATAGAAAGGAAACTTTTCTCCTAGAAATGTTTTCAACTTGACCGATCACCTTGCAGGTAGGTAGAGCAAAAGCAATAATGGGTCCAGGACTATTTAACCTCACTTCAGGACCCAGAAGATGCAGTTAGGGTGTCATTGTATCTTTGTCCCTCTTCCCTCTGTGACTACATTGGATAAAAATCTCCTTTCCTTTCACTGTTGATTTGGATCTTTTAATTGACTTATCAAGGACAGGTAACCAAACATGGCTTGTTAGGACAGTCTGTGACACTAAGTCCAGTTAATAGTCACTCATATGTCAACTTCTGATTCCTCTCTAGCTCCCCTAACAACTGGTCACCAGATGTATCTGTGAAATTCATTTCATTAATCAAACTTACCAGAGAAGCAAGTTAAGTGCCTATTTTGGTTATAAAGGCTAAGAGAATACCAGAAAGTTAATTACTAAACAAAAGGAAAAAAATAAAGAATGGAATCTACCTCTGTCTCTAGGTGGATATGACATTCTGATATGCTCCAAAGATCAGAACATAACATACTATTGTCTCATCCCAAGACCTCAACCTCTACTTGTAGAGAACTATAGGTAATTAATGACTGCTGGATAAAAGAGTCTCAGTCTCTTCCAGGGATGAGCCCCACCCCCTTTGATGGGCAATCCAATCTCAAACAGTCAGCCCTATACACATATATGTGCAACACTTAAGCACACATATATCTGAGCAAGGCTAAATGACCTCAGCAAGTTGTATTTATAATGTGCATGTGTATATATACGTAACTAATAATAAGAGGCATGGATTTTAAAAGGAATGCAGGAGGAGTTGGAGGGAAGTGAGAGAAGTGGCAAATTATGTAAATACAAGCCGGGCGGTGGTGGTGCACGCCTTTAATCCCAGCACTCAGGAGGCAGAGGCAGGCGGATCTCTGTGAGTTCGAGGCTGGGCTGGACCGACAGCCTCGAAAACAATACAGAGAAACCCTGTCTCGTAAAAACCCAAAAAAATATATATATATATATGTAAATACAACATTCATATATGAAACCCTGGAAAAAAAGTTTTTAAAGTTACTTCAGCTTTGCCTATCACCTCTCCAAGAAACCATCCCTGAATCCTGATTCACCTGAATTTATGGAAAGGAGATAGGAGGAATAATTATCTAATGAGATAATATACCTCCCCCAAAACTGCTACTGTATAGTTGCTTTCAGAGCTGACTCTATGTAGCTCTGCTAATTCTTCCTGCTTTCAGAGTTACTCAAGGAGTATAAGTTTCCTTTTTCTTGTTTTTCTTTTCAATATTGATCAACATGCTTTCTTGGACAGTGGACTTTCTCACTTTTCTGAAGCTAAGTGTTCTTCCCTTTCTCACACAGCTGCTGTTTGCCGTGTGTGCTGACCTCCATTATCTGTTGCTTTTCTTTAAACTACTAAAATTGTTCCCAGAGTGTGGTGGGGAAATTACACTAGTCAGAGGTTCATGATGGCAAAACTCACAAGGCTATGTACTTCCTGCCTTTATCCAATCATGAGCAAGCATATATCCTGACATGCTTCCTGCATACCTCCCACCTACATGTGATAAAGCATATTCTATACAATTGAGGCTGCCAACCTCATTTTTACAGAACTGAAAACACCAGGCTTGTTATCTCTTACACAAACAGCCCCCAGCATTCAAGGAAGTTATCTGTCCTTGAGCAAGTGGAGCTTACAGGTTAGAGGCATTTCTGTTTTAAACATCTTTTAAGCACAGTACTTTAAACTCAAAATGTAACTTAACCCTCAAAAAATGTGTTAAGATTCATGGTTATAAATCATTTTGGACCTAAGTAAACGTCATTCATTATTTCCTTTAACATTCTGAGATTTCTCCTCTGTGGTAATTCTTGCTTTAGCAGAGGTGTTTTTTCTTGACAACAGGAAAAGCAAACTGGATCCCTGGATGAGAGAAATTTCCTTTCCTTCCTTCTCATGCCCCTTCATTTTCTTTCTATTCTTGCAAATCAGTGTGGCAATAACAATTTAAAATGCTTGCTGACATAGAATATAATTTATTTTCTAAAAGTTCCATTTTCACAGTTTGGTTGTTTAACACCATTAGGGCTTACCTCACTAGTTCCAAAAGACAACTGTCAGCCTACAATCTCACTGTGCTGTTAGGGATGTCCTCAAACTATTGCACTCTGGTGGTGGTACTGCCTCAACTCCCAAGCATGGGCTTTAAAACCATGTGTCACCAAGATTTTACACATCTGTCTTGATTAAAGGGTTCTGACCACTAGGGAAATGCATATTTAAACAACAGTTGTATACCTATTATAATAGAAAATAGGATTTACCACTGATTACTTTTAATAATGGAAAATATACCATTTTGGAAGTTTGGTAGTTTCATATAAAGTTAAATATACGTTTACCAAATTCCCGAGCAACACTCCTAGGTACTTACCTAAATAACTGAAGAATCTCATATTTAATTTTTTAATGACATATTCATGACTGCTCGAATGCAAACAACCAAGAAATCCTTCAATAAGTGAACATAAAAGCCATAGAACAATATACTGCAAAGTATATTGTATATTGCAACTCGGCAATTAAAAATGTCACTGACCCTACACAATAATATGGTGAAATTTTTTCAATAAATTATTTTTATTTTATGTGCATTGGTGTTTTGCTTGCTTGTATGTCTGTGTGAGGGTGTCAGAAGTCCTAGAACTGAAGTTACAGACAGTTGTGAGCCGCCATGTGGTTGCTGGGAATTGAACCCAAGTCTAAAGAATAGCCAGAGCTTTTAACTGCTGAGCCATCTCTCCAGCCCACATGCATGAATCTTCAGTTTATTTACCTAAATTTTTAAGGATGCCAGAGCCCAAATGTTACTAATTATTACAAGACATTATGAAAAAGGACTATAGAAACAGAAAAAAAACAGATGAGTGATTGACAGAAGTAAGGATAAGGAGGAGCTTCCTCAGCAGAGAAAGCTGAGAGTGGTAAAAACTCCTTGGATGGTAAACACAGGAGTGTGCTGAGAGAACCCTCTGTCCTCTGTTTCTGTAATACTGCTGCTATAGCATTATTATGCTTTTACCACTGAGAAATCACTTCAAGCTCTTGGAGATTAATAAAGGAAAGTTTCTTTAAGAATAGCCCAGGTCGCCATATAAAGTAGTCATCATTCTCATTATCATGGAAGGGCATTTAAGGTAGGTTTAGTGCCAGTTGGTGTCATTCTTGTAGATCTGTAAAGATCTCACTAGTGCCAGATCTCTCCTCCAACTTATAATGGCTCCCTCTTCTATGGTATCTCCCATCCTTCTCTCCTATATTCTTAACCCTGGCTCAACCTTCCTGCTCTCCCATGTCCTCCTCTCCCCTCCTCTTTTCTCCCTCTCTTTCTCCCATCTCCTTCTGTCTTCCCCCACCCCAAATCCAATTAGGAGATTTTGTCCCCTAACCCTTCTCCAGGTTAACATGCATATCTCTCTTAGGGTCTTCCCTGTACCCCAAACTCTATGGAGGTGGGATTGTGGGCTGGCAATGCCCTGCCCAATGTCTAAAATCCATATATGAGTGAGTACATACCATTTTTGTCTTTTTGTATCTGGGTTACCTCACTCAGGATGGTTTCTTCTAGTGCCATCCATTTGCCTGCAAATTTCAAGATTCCATTGTTTTTTTTCTGCTGAGTAATACTCCATTGTGTAAATGTACCACATTTTCTCTATCCACTCTTCAGTTGATGGGCATCTAGGTTGCTTCCAGGTTCTGGCTATTACAAATAATGCTGCTATGAACATAGTTGAACAGATGTCCTTATTGTATGAGGGTACATCTTTTGAGAACTCTCATCCAGTGGCTGATGGAGGCAGAGGCAGACACCCACAGCTGGGAACCGAATTGAACTCCTGAAACCCAGTTGCAAAGAGGAGTAATGACCAAAGGAATAAAGATCAGGCTGGTGAAACCCACAGGGGTAGCTGACCTAAACAAGGGGGAACACATGGACCTCAGACTGATGACTGAGGGGCCAGCATGGGACTGATCCAGACTTCCCTCCCACCAAACCTGGGTGACAGAGAGGAGGCCTTGGAGAGTAGAGCAGTATTTATTCCTGGCATACAGATGGATGCTGGGAACCCATACCACATGGAGGGATGCTCTCTCAGCCTGGACACATGGGGAAGGACCTAGGCCCTTCCCGGGATGATGTGACAGACTGAAAAACCCTCATGGAAGCCCTTGCCCTCTCTGGGGAGCGGAGCGGGGATGGAGTGGGGGTGAGGGTTTGGGAGGACTGCAGGGATGGGGGAGGAGGGGTGGGAGAGGGAACTGAGAGTGACATGTGTAAAAAGTTAAATAAAAAAAATAGGGAGGAGGCAGAAGCACCGCATTTGGAGCTGGTCGGCATTACCACTGCCCATGGCAGCCTACTCCTACTGCCCAGGCCCGGGCGCCGGCCCTGGCCCTGCTGCTGGAGCTCAGCTGCCAGACCAGAGATTCCTGTGGAACGTCTTCCAGCGGGTTGATAAAGACAGAAGGGGAGTGATTGTGGGAACACCAGACCTTGAGCAGAGACCCACTTCCCCTTCTGCCTGGGAGTAGGCAGCTGTAAGACAATGTTTACTAAAAACAATACAATGCCTGGGGGCATTAAGTTCCTGGAAAAGGCCTGCCCGCAGAAACCACCCTGAGCTCGACCTTGTCCAGAGACTAACCGCCTCTTCTGCCACGCCCAGATCAGTTTCTGGGGTGAGAGAGAACCAGCCAGCGTAGAGGAGAGAGCAGAAGCTTCTCTGGTGGGAGCCTTTCTTAGGAAGTTTTCTTGAACCTTTTTGGAGCCTGCTTAAAGTTTTCTTTACATCGTTGAAAGAGTCTCTGTGTTGTCAATCCCCGACACCCTCCGCACGTTCTTGGACACAGGCCGCGCAGCAGACGAGACAAGTGATTTCAGACAATGAGCTTCAGCAAGCATTATCCAATGGTACTTGGACTCCGTTTAATCCAGTGACTGTTAGGTCAATCATTTCTATGTTTGACCGAGAAAACAAGGCTGGAGTGAGCTTCAGTGAATTTACAGGTGTGTGGAAATACATCACATGTGGACTGGCAGAACATGTTCCAAACAGGGACAACTCTGGGATGATTGACGAGAACAAGCTCAAGCAAGCACTCTCAGGTTTTGGCTACCGACTCTCTGATCAGTTCCATGACATCCTCATCTGCAAATTTGATAGACAAGGGCGAGGGCAGATGGCATTTGATGACTTCCTCCAGGGCTGCATCATCTTGCAGAGGTTGACAGACATACTCAGACAGGATCAGGATGGCTGGATTCAGGTGTCTTATGAGCAGTATTTGACTGTGATTCTGTAATGGCACCTTAGCCACACTGTTATATACAAACCTTGGGTTTGCTGACTAATTGTGCCATGGGGTGAAACCTAATATTGGTTCAGGATTCTGCTCTCAAGCTATCATGTTGTTTTCTAGATGTCTCTAATTCTGTAGTTGAAAATGCTTTTATTAGCCAGTAGGATTTTAAAATAATATGGAACTTGCACAGAATGCTGTTTTTCTTGTCTCTCAGATACCTACTCCATGACTAGAGAGGGCTATTTGACAAAACTATCTGAACTGTACTCTTCAAACACATCTGCGCATGAGAAACAAGACTTTAAAAAGTTAGCACAAGGGCTAGTGTGACAGCTCACCAGTTAAAGGTTAGACTCAACAAAGAAAAAAAAAAGCACAAACCACAGGGGACAATTTAGGAACAATTTCTAAATGCATGTGGCAACCTGAATCCTGAAAGAAAAACTGGACATTAGTAGGGAAATACTAAAATCCAAATGAATGTTTTATGTCAAGTGTTAATTTCTTAGTTTTGATAAATTTGCTATGGTTATCCACAGTAACACAAGAGGGAAACACAGGCCCTCTACTGTCATATTTTTTCTGTAAATTGTGTATTTTAAATTTTCACTTAGTGTGTGTGTGTGTGTGTGTGTGTGTGTGTGTCCATGTGAAGGTTAGAGGAGAATCTATGAGTCAGTTTCTCCTTCTAAGGATCAAACTTAGGTTGTGCTTTGCAGCAGTGTCTTTACCCACCGACTGTATCTAAACTATGTAATACCTTTTGTTCCTTCCCATTCTGTTCCATATCTACCTTTTATATTTGACCCTTATAATTGGATTTTGTTATTAAACATTTTACTCTCATCTTTATTCTTATCAACAAAAATTCCTGGATTGTTAGTTATTAATGGACTTTTGCTCAAGCAAACTAATCAAGACATCTTGATACTTAAAGAAAAATACTTATTGTTGTAGGGAAAAGGGACCAGTCAAAGAAACACACCCTGAGCAGAGCCAAAGAAACACACTTTGGCCCTGCAACCACAACCAAAGAAATGTACCCTGACCCTAAAACCAGTGTCAAAGGAACACACTTTGTCCCTGGAATCAGAGTCAGTGAAAGAAATGTACCCTGGCCCTAAAATTGGAGCCAAAAGGCTAAAAAGGACCAGAGAAAGAAACACACTTTGGCCCTGAAACCAGAGCCAAATCTGACCCTAATCCTGTGTAAAAAAGTAACCAATCCCGGAGCAGAGCTCTAGCCAATCTGAGCTCAGCACTGAAATCGGACCAATCCCTACTCTGGAAAAACTTCCCCAATCCCTATATAAACCCTGTGTATGTTCAGCTTGGCTGGTCCAGCTGCCTTCCAATAAACCCCTTTGGATGAGCTTTGGGTGAAGATCTTCTTTTGCGGCGGCGACAGAGCAGAGGCGACCCTAGGCAGAGCAGAGCAGAGCAGAGCAAGCAGAGCAGAGCCAGCAGCACTGTAACACTTGCCCGGGAAACCTTCCTTGGCAGAGCGGAGTTGTTACACTCTGCTCCTGGCTCCCTGCTCTCCGCTCTCCAGGAGCAGAGCTGAACTGTAGCAAACCTCCTGCGGAGCAAAACTGCTACACTAGGCGAACATCCCCAGCTGGAAGACCCTGTCCTGCCGGAGCGGAGCTGATACACCGGAGAGGCCTTTCTCTGAGGCAAGGCTGTAAGCTGCCAAGCTTACTGCAACCTGTGGTGGTCCTTGGCTCCCGAGATCCAGGATACCTTTCTACCTGAGCTGTGTAACACTCAGTATCCTTGGCTCCCGAGCTCCAGGATACCTTTCCACCTGAGCTGTGTAACACTCAGTATCCTTGGCTCCTGAGCTCCAGGATACCTTTCCACCTGAGCTGTGTAACACTCAGTATTCTGTGACTCCCGAGTGCCAGAATACCTGACCCACTCCTGTTCCATCCTGTCCTGACCCATCCCGACGACGAAACGCTTACAATTGTAAATGTTACAAGAATGGGATTGTTTTACCTTCAATTTCACTACATACTTGTGGATGAATATTATTTCTTGTTACACTTAAGTAAGTGATCATCAATTCTATTGTCCTTTTCTCTTTCCTGATTTTTAAAAATTGCTCTAATTCTTGGGAAAACCTGCCCATACATATAAAAGAGTAGATGCCATCAAAATGTGAGTTTTGCGCTAGCAAAATTCAATACTTTGAATTCCTTCTTGATTGCATGCCAACATTTGGTAATTTCCTGTTTAAACTATTTTCTACCGTCTATCAAGTTACACCGTGGTTAGGTTCTCCTTCCACTTTTTTGAGGAAAAAAAGACTAAAAAGTGAGGGGTGGGGCGTGGTGGGCAGTCATCCAGATTTCAGGGCCATTTGCTTCCAGCCTCACATCTGACTTCCAGGTTGTTCTTTGGGGCCCCTAGAGTGGAGCCTCTGCTTGTCAGAAGTCTAGCCGCTGGGCTCTTCAGTTCCTACCTGGAGATAACGTGAAGGGCGTTTTTTGAAATAAGCCTCAGGTATCCCTGGCTGCCTCAAAGGGGAAGTCCTTCTAGGTACAGACACTTACATGGTGTTAAGTAGCCATCCCGTGTTTTGTGAGGGCTGGCACCCTGGGTGTAGACAACCCGTGTGAAGACTCTGTGAGGGCTGGGTCCTGCTGCGCGTAGACACCGAGGTGGGGGGGGGAGGGTGTACCCACGTGGTGTTTATACTGCTGAGGCCTGGGGTCTTCCTAAGAGTCCGCAACTGGGGTGAGGACAAGCAGCCACACTGAGGTGAGGCGGGCAGGGCAGGGGAAGACTGGCCCTCGGGGCTTTGACTTCTGCAGAGACAGGAAGCTGCGGACCTGACCATGGCAAGGAGACGGGGTGAGGCCTGGAACCCAGCAGCGCTTGCCCTGACCAGGCTTCACGTCCGTCGGCGGCGCCCCGCACGTGGGGCGCAGGGGCGGGGCCGGGAGCGGGGGTCCTTGCTAATTGGACGACGGGCGCCGCGGGGGCGCAGGCCCCACTCCTCAGGGTCCGCACGAGGGGCCTTTTGAAAGACGCGACTGGCCGCGTGCCCCGCAGAGGCCTGAGGGGAGAGGTCGACGGTGGCAGCTCAGCGATGGCGACCGCGGGCGGCAGCCGACGAGCCCCGGTCCCGGGCCCTCGGCTCGGCCTGCCTCTGGCCGCTCACCTGCCTGCGAGCCTGGGCGGGGAGGGCGCGAAGGACAGCCTCGGGGGTGCGCTGGCAGGGAGGCCGCCGGTTTGGTTCTGCCCTCTCGTGTTCTCTTCTCTCCAGACCTTGCCCCTCCGTCCTGAGGAGATTCGTGGTTTTCTTCCCACCCCCACTCCGTGGCCCCTCCTTTTCCCTTTCCAGATGGGCTTGGGGGAGGAATTCCGAAGACTTCATTGTTTGTTAAAACAGAATACAGTTCTGAGGTCAATCAGAGAGGGATTTGGCAATAGCCACGAGAGCCTATGTGTGTGGGTGAAAAAAAAAAAAGACACCTGTGAGCTTCTCTTTCTCCCCCCCGGAACTTGTTGTTTACCTAGGAACTTGTTGTTTACGTAGGATTTTCATTTTCTGCCAATTTCATCCTAAACAGGTGAGAAAACTTCTGGAAACAATGACTGGTTTCAGAGTTCCAGGGTCCCTAGCTTTGCTCAGATGCTGAAAAAGAACTTACCAGTTCAGTCATCAGCTCAGACTGTCACTTTGCCCACCGGCTATTCGGAAAATTGTAGCCTGTCGAATATGGCATCCAAGGTTACACAAGTGACAGGTACAACTTTCTTTTTATATCTGTAAGTGCCTTGGTTCAGTATGGCCCTGGGATTGCCAGTGAAAGCAGTGTTAGTTTATTTGTTTGGGGTGAGTGTGGGTCTATCATCTCTGTGGCCCTGTCGCATTTGTGGAGTTAGTAACTGTGACAGTATAGTAAGTGGCCTATAGAACTCTTTAACCTTATCACTTAGTATAATAGAAAGCATAGACAAACATACCGTAAAACTTAGGTTGAGCTGGAATCAGACAGTTTACAATGACTCAGTGGAATAGGAATTAATAACAGCAGGTTAGAGCACAAAACTAGGTAATAGTTCCAATAAAACTGTATCGTCTTCATTCTAGGCCTTAGAGAGCTCGTGTGTAAAAATGACTTATCCTTGAAAGCATCACTAAACTTTTTCTATCGTTAATATTTCAGTACAATGTGTCTTCAATATGAAAAAGGCATTTACAATAGCAGGTTATGCCTATATGTGTGCTCAGACTGTCTAGTGGGAACTTGGGGAAAACATGCTTTTGTAAGGATTTAATACTTTGCCTCATCTTCTTTAAACCAAATTGACCAGTATAAACATTTGTTCTCAGGTAATTTTCCAGAGCCATTGCTTTCCAAAGGTCTTTCATCTATTTCAAATCCTGTCCTTCCTCCTAAAAAAATACCTAAAGAATTTATAATGAAATACAAACGTGGAGAGATAAATCCTGTGTCAGCCTTGCATCAATTTGCACAAATGCAGCGTGTTCAGCTTGACCTTAAGGAGACTGTAACAACAGGCAAGTTTGAAATTGCTTCCAATTACCCCAGTACTAGCATTTTTTCCAATAAAAATGGGGCATATAAGTTGTTCTACGTTCACTTATGATATATGTATATATAAATATAAACATAATTAGGGTTAATGGGCATTTTGTAATGCAAAAAGTAGCTCAATAAAGACATATTTCTGGCAATGTTAGCTATTTGTCCTGAAGTTATAAGAAAGATTTTTGTGACTGTGATGCTTAAGAAACCAATATTGTCTAACTTGGCCCTTTAAATTAAATCATTTGATCTGAAAAGAGCACTCCCTGGTTGATGTTGTATTATAGACTTGACTGTTGATTTCTTCCCCTCTCCCTTAAACTGAAAAACGTCTTTTACCATGTGTACTTGTGGATGGCTATGGGAATATAATCAGTTAAAACTAGAAGAGGCTTCAAATCTCTTTATGCTGTGGACTAATAGTAAGAACTTTAAGTACTTGTAAAAACAATAGTTGATACTTTGAAGAAGTGTTGACTAGCCGGGCAGTGATGGCGCACACCTTTAATCGGGAGGCAGAGGCAGGTGATTATGAGTTTGTGGCCATCGTAGTCCACAGAGCAAGGGCCAGGACAGCCAGGGCTACAAAGAGAAACCCTGTCTCAGAAAAGAAAAACAAAAGAATAAGAAAACGCATCAACTAAAAATGTGATAGTAAAACAGCTTTAAAATATTCATGTGCATGCATAGTTTTGTTTATTTTTCCAACTTTTACCTGTATGTTCCTGTATGCATCTCAAAGATTTGCAACATAATTTAAAACTCTGGAAATTTCACTGAAAATTTTTAGTAAGTTTCTTTGTGTGAAATACAAGTAAACTTAACATGATGAAGATGTACACTGTAGTACTTTCATAAAGTAAACAGTAGTCTCAATCTTTGCTTTCCTACATTATTCTAAGATCAGCCTTGGGAAATGTAAGCTACTAGTAAAAAGATAAAAAATGCCCAGTGAAAATGCTTCACTGGTCTGAAGATGGCAAGTGGTATTCATTTTTGTTATGAGTCAGTAAGTTTTGTGAGGCTGTGTTACAAACATGTTGAGGTTCAAAGGTCAGCATTCTAATACAGAAGGCTTTCTAACAAATTTAATGTGTAACATACATACAAAGAACCATCTGAGCCACTTGTTCAGAATGTGAAATGTTCTCTGGTTTAGTCGTTTAGATTGAAACACAGGTAAACATGGAAAAAAGGTAAATTGAGATATTTGGGTAATATTAGCAGGGTATAGATTTAAGTTCCTAGTAAAATCTTTTTTTTTTTTTGGTTTTTCGAGACAGGATTTCTCTGTGGCTTTGGAGGCTGTCCTGGAACTCCCTCTTGTGGACCAGGCTGGTCTCGAACTCACAGAGATCTGCCTTCCTCTGCCTCCCAAGTGCTGGGATGAAAGGCATGCGCTGCCACCTCCCTTAAAAGCAATGGAACATGATTATAAATATGAAAGAAAATAAGATAGTGGGGATGTGTGCAGTGATCTAGTCCCTAGCCATCCCTAACCAAAGGGTGGAGATTTAGAGATTTAGTAGAGATTCCTAACATTAATATGTTCCACCTGTAAATTTAGAAAATGATTAAATTTCATTTTTCATGAGAAAACACAAAATCCAAGTAAAAGTAATAGTGTAAAGGTAATTTGTGGGAGAAGGAGCATTCGGTTGAATTCAGAAGATACCTCTTCTCTTGTTTTATTTCATCCTGTATGTTCTCTGATCTCTTTCCTGAGGTGTAATAATCCAAAGATGAAAGAAATGTAATTTTACTTGTACTGAAGTTTTAAATATGAATACTGCTAGAAGTCTTCAAATATTTAACTACCTCTTGGGTAGTTCAGTAAATATTTGAGTGTACTGTATTTTAAAGCTATGTCTATTGCTTGCATTATATTTGAAGCCAGTGCAGCTACTTGAATTCACTGAATCAATTTAGGGGCTAATATAACTGTAATTTTAATCCCTAATTGATCTACAAAAAGTTGAGTTTACACTAAAAGGTTATCATTTAATACTAGTTTTCCAGAATTTTATACTGAAATAATTTCCTAACATTCAGACATTACTTGCAAGAATAGTATATGAATTATTGTAGCATTCATTCTGGTTTCTTTTTCAAGGTAATGTTATGGGACCATATTTTGCTTTTTGTGCTGTGGTGGATGGTATTCAGTACAAGACTGGACTGGGACAAAATAAAAAAGAATCTAGATCCAATGCAGCAAAATTAGCTCTTGATGAGCTTCTACAATTGGATGAACCTGAGCCAAGAGTTATAGAACCAGCAGGTAAATTCAGCTGACTACAATGTGTTTGAACATGTCATTTTCCAGAAGGAATAATAGAAAGATTTGCATTAATGAAGGGTTACTTAACAACTACAAAATTACCGAATTTGAATAATTTCTTTCAGTTGCTGTTTGCTGTAATGTTTCATAGTTACAGTGATCTTGTATTTTCATCACCAAAAGATATACTTATGTTTTGTCAGTAATCACATTAAGAGATGTAAAGTAGTATCTTTTGTGGTTTTGACTTAAATTTCCCTACTGATATTTGATGATGAGAATCTTTTCATGTGTTTATTGAACATTGTCATTTTAAGGAGGGGAGACAAATCCTGTTCAAGTCATTTCTTCCATTTTCAATTAAGTCTATTCTTTTTTTTTTCTGGAACATTTTCCCAGTACTGGAAAAATGATTTATTAGTTAAGAGTGAGTACAGCTCTTGTAGAGGACCTGAGTTCAGATCCCAGGACCCATGCAGGGTGGCTCCCAACTGCCTCTAACTCCAGTTCCAGGAGTATCCAGTACTTGTTTTTTTGTTTTGTTTTATTATTATTTTAATTTTAAATACCTTGTTTTACATGTCAATCCCAGTTCCCTCTCCCTCCCCTCCTCCTGCACCGCCCCACCATCCCCCCCCCCCCAGCCTCCCACCCTATTGCCATTTCCTCCCACATAGGGGATATCTAGAGTCTCTCATTTCACTCAGGGCAGGGTCCAGGCACTCCCCTAAGAGTCCAGGCTGAGAGAGCATCCCTCTTTGTGTTATGGACATACCATGTCTGTTTGTATGCCAGGGATAAACATTGATCCACTGCCCAGGGCTCCAAAGGTTGCCCAGGCCTTCTCGCTGACACTCACATTCAGGGGGTCTGGATCAGTCCCATGCTGGCTTCCCAGATGTCGGTCTGGGGTCAAAGAGCTCTCCCCTGTTCAGATCAGCTGTCTCTGCTGGTTTTCCATCCCATTCTTTGCCTATTTGCTCTTCGCTCCTCTCTCTCTGCCGCTGGGTTCCTTGGGTTCTGTTCAGTATTTAACTGTGGGTGTTTGTCTCTGCTTCCATTAGTCACTGGATGAAGGCTCCAGGATGGTTATGGACATCAAGTTCATTATCAGGAATGGGCATTCAAGGTGGTCTCTCCACTATTGCTTAGCTTGCCAATTGGTGTCATCCCTTTAGATCACTAGAGGTCACACTGGTACCTGGTCTGTCTTTGAACCTATGATCCCTCTTCCCCCTATTCAACCCCCAACTCAACCTTCCTGTTCCCCCATGACCTACTCTCTCTTCCTCTTCTCCCCTTCTCTTCTTCCCAGCTCCCACTCCCCCCCCCACCCCTTGCCGTGTTACCCATCTGTTCAGAGGATCTTGCCTCATTCCTCTTCTCTTGGGTACCATGCATATCTCTTAGGTTCTTTCCTGTTTCCCAGACTCTCTTGTCAGTGGAAGTGCAGACTGGCACTCTCCTGATCCATGTCTAAAATCCATATATGAGTGAGTACATACCATCTTTGTCTTTTTTGTGACTGGGTTACCTCACTCAGGATGGTTTCTTCTAGTGCCATCCATTTACCTGCAAATTTCAAGATTCCATTGTTTTTTTTTTTCTGCTGAGTAATACTACATTGTGTAAATGTACGACATTTTCTCTATCCACTCTTCAGTTGAGGGGTATCTACGTTGCTTCCAAGTTCTGGCTATTACAAATAATGCTGCTATGAACATAGAGGAACAGATGTCCTTGTTGTATAAATGTGCATCATTTGGGTATATGCCTAAGAGTGGAATTGCTGTGTCTTGTGGTAGGCTAATTCCCATTTTCCTGAGGAATTTCCATACTGATTTCCAAAGTGGCTGTACGAGTTGGCACTCCCACCAGCAGGGGAGGAGTGTTCTCCTCTCTCCACATCCTCTCCAGCATAAAGTGTCATCATACTTTTTTATTTTAGCCATTTTGACAGGAGTAAGATGGTATCTCAAAGTTGTTTTGATTTGCATTTCTTTGATGGCTAAGGATGTTGAGCACTTTCTTAAGTGTCTCTCAGTCATTTTAGACTCCTCTATTGAGAATTCTCTATTTAGTTCTGTAAACCACCTTTTAATTGGATCCTTTGGTGATTTGGAGACTTGCTTCATGAGTTCTTTGTAAATTTTGGAGATCATCCCTCTGTCAGATGTGGGGTTAGTGAATATCTTATCCCATTCTGTGGACTGCCTTTTTGTCTTGTTGACTGTGTCCTTTGCCTTACAGAAGCTTTTTAGTTTCAAGAGGCCCCATTTGTTAATTGTCAATCTCAGTGTCTGTGCCACTGGTGTTATGTTCAGGAAGTGGTCTCCTGTACCGACTCGTTGAAGAGTATCTCCCACTTTCTCTTCTAAAAGTTTCAGTGTGCTTGGAATTATGTTGAGATCTTTGATCCATTTGGACTTAAGTTTTGTACAAGGCGATAAACATGGATCTATCTGCAGTCTTCTGCATACCAATACCCAGTTATGCCAGCACCATTTGTTGAAGATGCTTTCTTTTTTCCATTGTATACCTTTAGCTTCTTTGTCAAAAATCAAGTGTTCATAGGTGTGTGGGTTAAAATCAGGGTTTTCAATTTGGTTCCATTGGTCTACGTGCCTATTTTTGTGCCAATACCAAGTTGTTTTCAGGGCTATAGCTCTATAATAGAGCTTGAAGTCAGGTATGATGATGCCTCCTGAAGTTCCTTTATTGTATAGGGTTGTTTTGGCTATCCTGGGCCTTTTGTTTTTCCATATAAAGTTGATTATTGTTCTTTCAAGGTCTGTGAAGAATTGTGCCGGAATTTTGATAGGGATTGCATTGAATCTGTAGACTGCTTTTGGCAAGATTGCCATTTTTATTATATTGATCCTACCAATCCAAAAGCATGGGATAGCTTTCCATTTTCTGGTATCCTCTTTGATTTATTTCTTTAAAGACTCAAAGTTCTTGATATACAGGTCTTTCACTTCCTTGGTTAACATTATCCCCAGATATTTGATGCTGTTTATGACTATTGTAAAGGGTGATGTTTCTCTGATTTCTTTCTTAGCCAATTCATCATCTGTATATAATAGGACCACTGATTTTTTTGAGTTAGCCTTGTATCCTGCCACTTTGCTGAAGGTATTTATCAGCTCTAGGAGTTCCCTTGTGGAGTTTTTCGGGTCCCTTATGTAAGCTATCATATCATCTGCAAATAGTGAAAGTTTGACTTCTTCTTTTCCTATTTGTATTTCCTTGATCTCCTTTTGTTGTTTTATTGCTGTAGCTAGAACTTCAAGTACAATATTGAAGAGATATGGAGAGAGTGGACAGCCTTGTCTTGCTCCTGATTTTAGAGGAATTGCGTTGAATTTCTCTCCATTTAGTTTGATGTTAGCTGTTGGTTTACTGTATATTGCCTTTATTACGTTCAGGTATGTTCCTGTTATCCCTGATCTCTCTAGGACCTTTATCATGAAGGGGTGCTGGATTTTGTCAAAGGCTTTTTCAGCATCTAGTGAGATGATCATGTGGTTTTTCTTTCGCAGTTTGTTAATATGGTGGATTACATTGATAGATTTTCTAATGTTGAACCATCCCTGCATTCCTGGGATGAAGCCTACTTGATTCATGGTGGATGATTTTTCTGATGTGTTCTTGAATCCGGTTTGCCAGTATTTTATTGAGTATTTTTGCATCAATGTTAATGAGGGAAATTGGTCTACAGTTCTCTTTCTTAGTTGTGTCTTTGTGTGGCTTGAGTATCAAGGTAATTGTAGCCTCGTAAAAAGAGTTTGGCAGTGAGCCTCCTGCTTCTATTGTGTGGAATACTTTGAGAGTATTGGAATTAGCTCTCCTTTGAATTTCTGGTAGAATTCTGCACTGAAGCCATCTGGGCCTGGACATTTTTTTGGTTGGGAGACTTTTGATGACTGCTTCTATTTCATTAAGGGTTATAGGTCTGTTTAGATTGTTTATCTATTCTTGATTTAGTTTTGGCAAGTGATATCTATCCAAGAAATTGTCCATTTCCTTTAAATTTTCGAACTTTGTGGAGTACAGATTTTCAAAGTATGCCCTGATGATTCTCTGGATTTCCTCAGTGTCCGTTGTTATGTCCCACTTTTCATTTCTGATTTTGTTAATTAGCATGCTCTCTCTCTCTGTTTTGGTTAGTTTTGACAGAGGTTTGTCTATTTTGTTGATTTTCTCAAAGAACCAACTCTTTGTTTCATCGATTCTTCTCAATATTTTCCTGGTTTCTACTTGATTGATTTCAGCCCTCAATTTGATTATTTCCTGGCGTCTGCTCTTCCTGGGTGAGTTTGCTTCTTTTTTTCTAGAACATTCAGCTGTGCTATTCTCTAGTGTGTCTGTTCTCCAGTTTTTTCAAGTGGGCACTTAGTGCTATGAACTTTCCTCTCAGCACTGCTTTCAGAGTGTCCCATAAATTTGGGTATGTTGTGTCTGCATTCTCATTGAATTCCAGGAAGTCTTTAATTTCTTTTTTATTTCTTCCTTTACCCAGGGATGGTGCAATTGTGCATTGTTCAATTTCCATGAGTTTGTAGGGTTTCTGTGATTTGTGTTATTGTTGAATTCTAATTTTAATGCATGGTGGTCTGATAAGATACAGGGGGTTATTCCAATTTTTTTCTATCTGTGGAGATTTTCTATGTTTCCTATTATGTGGTCAGTTTTAGAGAAGGTTCCATGTGGTGCCGAGAAGAAGGTATATCCCTTTGTGTTTGGGTGGAATGTTCTATAGATGTCTGTTAAACCCAGTTGGGTCATAACTTCTATTAGTTCTTTTGTTTCTTTGTTAAGTTTCTGTCTGGAGGTCCTGTCTAGTGGTGAGAGCCGAGTGTTGAAGTCTCCTACTATTAGTGTGTGAGATTTTATTTGCGATTTGAGCTTTAGTAATGTTTCTTTCACGAATGTAGGTGCCTTTGTATTTGGGGCATAGATGTTCAAAATTGAGACTTCATCTTGATGGACTTTTCCTTTGATGAATATGAAATGTCCTTCTTCATCTCTTTTGATTGATTTTAATTTGAAGTCTAGTTTGTTAGGTGTTAGGATTGCTACAACCGCTTGTTTCTTGGGTCCGTTTGATCAGAAAATCTTTTCCCAACCTTTTACTCTGAAAAAACATCTGTCTTTGATGTTGAGATGTGTTTCTTGTATGCAGCAGAAGGATGGGTTCTGTCTTTGCATCCATTCTGCTAGTCTGTGTCTTTTTATAGGCAAGTTGAGACCGTTGACATTGAGGGATATTAATGATGATTCTTGTTTGTGCTTGGTTTATTGGTAGTGGAGTTGTTTTGTGTAGGTTCTCCTCCCTTTTTCTTTTGGTGTTTGGTAAAGTGGGATTATCTATTGCCTGTGTCTTTGTGAGTGTAGTTATCTTTGTTGGGTCTAGGTTTTCCTTCTAGCACTTTTTGTATAGCTGGATTCATGGATACATATTGTTCAAATCTGGCTTTGTCATGGAATATTTTGTTTTCTCCATCTATGGTAATTGAAAGCTTTGCTGGATATAGTAGTCTGGGCTGGCATCTTTGTTCCCTTAGTGTTTGTAGGACATCTGTCCAGGATCTTCTGGCTTTCATAGTTTCCATTGAGAAGTCAGGTGTAATTCAGATAAGTCTGCCTTTATATGTTACTTGGTCTTTTTCTTTAGCTGCTCTTAATATTTTCTCTTTATTCTGTAGTTTTGATGTTTTGATTATTATATGGCGAGGTGACTTCTTTTTCTGGTCCAGCCTATTTGGTGTTCTGTAAGATTCTTGTATTTTCATAGACATATCCTTCTTTAGGTTAGGGAAGTTTTCTTCTATGATTTTATTGAATATGTTTTCTGTACCTTTGAGCTGTATTTCTTCGCCTTCTTCTATACCTATTATTCTCAGGTTTGGCTTCTTCACGGTGTCCTATATTTCCTGGATATTTTGTGTTAGGGATTTGTTGATTTTGAGATTTTCTTTGGTTGAGGACTGTATTATCTTCTAATGAGTCTTCAACACCTGAGATTCTCTCTTCTATCTCTTGTATTCTATTGGTGATACTTGCATCTGTAGTTCCAAATCGTTTACTGAGCTTTTCTATTTCCAGCATCCCTTCATTCTGTGTTTTCTTTATCGTTTCTATTTCAGCTTTCAATCCTTGAACTGTTTGAGTTGTTTCCTTCATTTGTTTGGTTGTTTTTTCTTGGTACTCTTTAGATTCTTTGAGAGATTTGTTTATTTCTTGAATTTTTCCCCCATTTCATGGATTTTTTTGGTTTGTTTATTCTTCTATTTCTTTAAGGGATTTCCTCGTTTCCTCTTTGAGGGTCTCTATCATCATCATAAAATAATTTTTAAGGTCTGTCCCCTCTGCTTCATCTATGTAGTACTTTTCAGGTCTTGCTGGCATTGGTTCTCTCGATTCTGGTGGAGTCGTGTTGGTCTTTCTATTGCTGAGTGTGCTCTTATTCTGTCTTCTTCCCATCTCTTCTTCCAGTGGGTGCAGGTGGGGTCTTTCCGTCTCCACTGGTCTCCTTCCTTCCTGAAGCTGAAGCTGGGGACGCTGACACTGAAGTTGAAGCTGAAGCTGGGGTCGCTGGAGGTTGGGGCCTGGAAGGGCTGATGTCTTTCCTGTGTGGGCAGGTCTTCTGGATGCCAGGAGCGGGGGGGATCGAGGGGATGGGTGTTGGGCGCAGGATGGGGAATGTCCCCCCGGAGACCCAAACTCACCTCTTAAGTCTACTCTTAATTGAGTTTTTAAAACTATGTGTCTATTCTGGGCATTTTTAAGATCCATGATGTACAAATTAAAACATTCCATCCTGTGGAATAATTTTATTGGTAGTATCCTTTGTTATATATAGCGTTTTACTTTTAATAAATCTAGTTTTCTTTTGTTGTGTGTAATCTTTGGTGTCATACTCAAGGAATTTTTGCCAAATCCAATGTCATGAAGTTTTACCCCTGTGGTTTCTTTTTAGAACTTTGTAGTTTTAGCTTTTATATTTAAAAGTTTTTGATAAATTTTTATTTTTGTTTAAGATGCTAGTGTTCATCTTCATTCTATTGCTTGTGAATATTAGCTTTCCCTGGAGCATTTGTCAAAAAGATTGCCCTTGGCACCTCTGACAAAAACAACTCGATTATATCTTTCTGGGCTTCTTTCTGGGCTCTCTGGTCTGAGTATCTCTCCTTATGCCATAATATACTGTTTTGATTACTGTCATATTGTTTTGATTGCACAGCTTTGGAATAAGTTGTTAAATCTGGCTATGTGAATTCTCTAATTTTATGCTTCTTCTGCTTTATTTGGCTATTTGTACCTGGTACTTTACAATAAGGTTTTCCTTTGTTCAGTTTTGTTTTACTTACTGAGATTATTTGCTCATAATAAGCAGAATTTAATGTCTCTAGTTTTCCTTCCTCTTGAGTCCTATCCTCTCGAGTAAATAGGTTTTACCTTCTTTTGGAGTTTTTGGCTTGCTTTTCTCAAGTCCAGGTAGTATATGTCTAACTCTAGTTAGCATTCTCTCTGGTGTAAAACGTCAGTTAACATCACCACGCTTTCCTTGCTTGTCTCTGTATCTTTAACTGTTTTTTCATCTTGAAATTAGTTTAGGGGAGTTGTTTTTTATTTTGTTTCTTTAACTAAGTTAAAAACCTGAACTTCCAGAGTTCCTTCATGTAAGCCTTCCTGATTTTTTTTTCCTCATCTGTCCCTCTGGTTCAGAGTTATCCTCTTGTTTTTCATGTGATCTTTAGCTGTTAGAGCTGAGCTGGAAAACGTTTGCAAAGAATAGGACTAATATCGTTAGAAAATTTGTAGCATTGTCCTGTTAAAAACCTAGTGAGCATTTTAAATAGTTTTACTTATTCTTATGAAATGTTAATTTTAAATGTAATACGTAATATTATTGTAAACGGAAAATTGTTCCTAAACATTTGAAGTAAACAGAGTTTCAGAATGTTGCTGCTTTACAAAAGAAGTTAGGTTGTGCTGCTAAGATCAGGAAGCTCAGAAGTTAGTTTGCACAGCTGAGCCAGTGAGCATTTGATGATGACAGAGTTGATGGAAGTATAAAGAAAACAGAACCAGTATGCATGACTATTCTTGGTTGTTATTTTGGAGTATATTTTTTGGATTACTATTACTGCCGAATAGTAAAATGTTGGCTCTCAGTTCTTTAGAAGGTTGCCATTTCGTTTTTTCCTTATGTTTTGTTTTTTTTTTATACAGGACCTCCTCCTATCCCTGCAGAACCTGTTGTTATACCTGAAGCAGCATATATTTCAAAAGTACAATATGGTAGGAAATGTTCTTTTTAGAAGATTAACCCAATGAAAACTTAAAATGCACAGATATAAAAAAATGTGCCTCAACATTTTATTCAGCCAATTCATGCTTCTATTAAAGGGGGAATTATCCTTAAAAAATTGCTCGTCATGAGGGAAATGAGGTTGGAGAGGAAAGTTTTAAAAAGGGATTTCAGCCAGTTCCGATGATACAGCCATATATAAATCCTAGCTGTTCTGGGGGCAGAGGCAGGAGGACAGCAAGCTCAAGGCTTGTCACTTCACCAAGCAGCCTGTCTATTTAGTGAGACTTATCTAAAAATGGGAAAGGGGTCTTGGGCACAGCTTGGTGGAAGAGTGCTTGCCTAAATGGTGTGAGAACTTAATGCTCAGTTGTCAGGACCACACAAAATGCTGGTGGGCAGGATCTTTTTAATAAGGAGGTAGCTTAGTAAGGCATGTGCATGGTACACATATATACATGCAGACAAAACACATAAAGTAAAATCTTTAAAACTCTAATATGTATATATATAAGACACTCTAATATGTATATACATAAAACTCTAATATGTATGTATTTATATATGGAAATATATATAGATAAATATACATATGTATATCCATCTATGTGTGTGTAGGGGTGGGTGTATATATACATAAAACTCCAATTGAAATTGCTGTTTGTGAGACCAGGGACTAATTAATTCCTGTTGCACTTTAATTTCTTCACTTTTAAAATTGCCATTACAGCAACTACCTCATCTAATTATTGTGAAGATTGAGTTGATACTCATTTGGCACACAGAATGTGTTCATTAAATCAGATCTTTCATTGTTTTATTATGACATTGTCACATTAAATAATGTAAAGCAGTTGTGTTCTTGACTAGTAGACTATTGTCTCCTGGAAGGCAGGACATTCTTCTTAATTTCTATATTGATGACATTTGACAGACACTTCAAATTTTAAGGCATTTGTAAAATGAAAAGAATTTTCCTTTCATTTTTCTAGGCCTGCAGGTTAGGCTTTGAAAACTTTGGTTCCTGTCAGCCTCATTGTTCTATTCCTCCTTCTAAGACAAAGAAAAAGGTCTTAATAATTTGTGAGCTTGCATGAATAGACCAGGGAAAATAAACACATTCAAAAGACAAAATCCACTAAGAGATTGGTATGGTCACTTTACCGCAGAGGTATAAGAATTCATGAACATTCTTGATGGCTCTGGCTACAAGAGTGATTGCTTAATATTGGAATAGGTTTTGCCTTTCCTATCAGCCTTTGGTTATTAAGGGGATAGTTTTCAAAGAATTGGTAAATGATCTAGATCACATTACCCTAGGAAAACAGGTCATAGTATATGAGTTAGAAAGGATACAGTTTTACAATAATGTAAAAGGATTTTAGAGCCAAATGTCAGAAAAAGGTGAACAAAAAATATATGGGGTTAAAATAGAAATTGAATATTAAAGCCTTTGAAGAAAAAATATTTGAGACCCACAAAAAATTTTACTGGACATTTCATGTTGTGCTAGTTATCAAGGTCAATAGTTCCAGCCTATCTACTTCACAGTACGTTTCTAGTAGACTATATCTTCACGAGAACAGTGGTATGCTGGTGGCTCTGAAAATAGATTCGGATTATGTATGATAATGGGTAACACTTGAAATTAGCAACTTGTAGTCAAAAAAGTGGTGTTAGAAGGCTGGAGAGATAGTTAAGTAGTTAAGGTCTCTCACTACTTCTGTAGAGGACTCAAATTCAGTTTCCAGCACTTAGAGCAGGTCATTCACAACTGTAATTCCAGCTCCAGGAGTATTCAACAGGATTCTGGTTCCTACAGGTACCCACACTCACATATACAACCCTCCCTGCAAGCACACACATGATAAAATATCTTTAAAAAATAGTGTGAGTGAATTTATTGTGTGTTGTGGTTTTATCTCATTATTCCTAATACCTTGTGATGCTCTTTTATTCTCTCAATAATGAGCACACATATAGAGAAAACAGTATTATACTTGCTCATTTTTTCACTTATATGCTGAGAGTTATATTTAGTAACTATTTGATTTGATTATATTCAAAACATTATTTCTTTCAACATTAAGACAGGGGTTGGGGGACTGGGGACTCCACAGTTAAAAGCATGTTCTGCTTTTCCAGAGGACTGGAGTGGAGCTTGTTTTCCAGCACCCACATCGGGTGGCTCACAACTGCTTGTAATCCCAGCTCCAGGGGATCTGACATCCTCTTCTGGTCTCCATGAGTGTCCCCACGCACATGCACATTCACACAGGAAAACAGACATACATTCACACAAGTAAAAATAAATGTTCAAACCAAGAGAAGAGCTATTTTAGCATATTGCTTTGTTTTCTATGGTGTGGGGCTTTGAACCCAGAAGGACATGTTAAGCGCTTTACTACTGAGCTATATCCTCATCTTATATTGGCACAGTGATGAGTCTCAAATGTTCTTTGTGATGGTTTTAATATGCAGCAAAACATTTTCTTGCCATATCTGAAGTATATTTATATTTATGTTTATAGATTGTGTCTCAGAATACCTGTAGAGAATTGGTGATAGTGGTTCTGTATCTGGAGGGGGAACTTATGAGTCTATATCTCATTTCTGTAAAAAAGGAATAATTTGAAAAATTTAATGAAAGCTTCTTTTTCTGCACAATGAATTCTGGATGATAAACAGAGTCAATAGTTCACTTAACTTTAAACGTTTAATTTTCTAATTTTGTGACTGTTCTTTTACTCTTTATGTTTTTTGTAATATGATTCACCTGGTTTGTTTCAAGTATAATGTTAATAATATGTACAAATAAAAATGCAAGTTCAATGAAAATAAGAACAGATAAATGGGCTTAACGTAAGTTATATCCACTTAACAGGATACTGAGACTGCTAATGCATTTGTATTCCTTTTAGAAAATAATGATTATTAAAAGAATTTTTGAAAATTTAAATAGTCATACATTTAATATACATGCATTGCACAAATGCAAAATCATTTCAGATTCTTTGAAAATATTAAATGAACTATGAACCACCTGATAAGCCATTAACATCCACCATGGAATATCAAGAACCTTTTTCAGTGGTCTCGGCATGTTGGCAAATGCATGTAACCCCAGAGTTCTGGAAGCCAAGGCAAGAGGATCATGAGTTTAAGGCCAGCCTGGCCTGTACAGTGAGCTACTGTATCAGGGCCTATAGAAATGGCTTTGTAGCATATTGACTTAAGGTCAGAGAGTTCAAAACTATTCTTGCTATCTCAAAGGTAAAGGCCTAAGACCTAAAGGTCTAAGATGTGGCTACTGAAAAATGTTTGGCCTAAGGTGTGGATGTCTTACCTATATATAACAGAATATTTGATCTAAGGTTACTAGATGTCCTAATCCTCAAAGCCAGATAACAATAGGTTTGATCTGAGGTGTGGTTACTAAATATTTGGAGAATTAAGGAAGTAGTTAAGTCTGTTTGTTCTTTGTATTGTGGCAAAGAAGTCTTTTACCTTTTCCCCCTTTTGATTGGGGTATATAAGAATTTCAAGCAATAAACTTAAGGTGCATCCCAGTATTCACTGGGATGCCCTCCCGACTCTATCTTCTCTCTCTAGCTTTTTTCCCCTCAGTCCATACTCTCCTTCTCAGGTATGGACTGGACAAGTCAGCAGGACCCAACAGATGTCCCTCAACATGAGGCACTGACAGTACTGTCTTAAAAAGAATGAAACAAGGCAGTGCTTGTTATACAACCAACTTTGAGAAATACTGAACTAAGTGATTTTTTGCAATTTCTTACCCACTAGAACGATGACTTTTCATTAACACTTCACAGTTGTAAATGAACGAAGTATCAGGTCTCCGGGGCTCCATCACATTAAGAAATAAAAATAAATAAAGCATCCTGGGTAACTGATTTATATTCTTGGCTATAAACACTGTTCTGTGGTGATCCTGGTTACTACGTAGACTTATTTGAACCATCTCTCAAGGTCAGGAAGTTTTTTAGTGGGAATATGGAACTATATCGGAAGTCCAAATGCTTTTTGGTTTGTACTGGTTCTCATTGGGGCAAATTCTAAGTATTTTGTGTCATAATGACTATAATGAATACATTTTGATTGTCAAAGTTGGGGAGGATTATTACCATTGAATGGTATGTTGGTAATATGTAGGATAGACAGTATCTATACAGCAAAAAAAATTACCCTGTGTATCATACGAGTTTGAATATCATGTCCAGACTGAGTTCTACAAACATGAGTAGTAGTGTTCAGGTAGTGCAGTTGATACTGACATATCATTCATAGGAAGTTATTCACAAAGCTCTGTTATTTGTATTTCTTACAACTGTATACAACCATGACAAAATGGAAATTCTACTGCATATCTTTATAAATTAATAACTAATGTAACTGTAAAATAAAACATTTCTTGGAAAAATCAGAATTCTCTTCAAATTCATACTGTGTTTTATTTTTTCTAGAAGGGAGACAAGTCCAGTATGCCAAGATTTCACAACTTGTTAAAGAAACATTTAGTCAACTAATTTCTAGCCACTCACAATATCTGAAATGTAGCAGTTCATTGGCTGCTTTTATAATTGAAAGAGGTAAGTTCATATATTTGGTATATGTTGCTTTGCAGAAAAAATACTTCAATGATTTGAACTATACTTTAGTAATAGGTTTAACTATCTTTGCTTCTGTAGACAGTAGTGTTGCATTGATTTGAAGTGATCTTTTCTAGTAGGTGAGTTGTTAAACACAAAGCCTCTCAAAGGTAAAGACTAAATGCACTGAGCAGAGCCAGAGCCAGTAAAGAGCTGCAGAATAGTTAGCTCTGCCACCTTCATGTCTAGCTCTCAGTATAGCAGACACTGAGAAGAGAGCTACAGGGAAGAGTATGTGCCTCTGGACATGTTGTTGAAGTTCTATTGTAACTTTACACTGCCTTTTAATCCATAGAGTTTTACATTGATATTAATCCCTAAAGTTTGTACTAGAGATGTTGACAAGAATGTTTTGATATTTGATATATTCTTAAGGAATTTTTATGATATAGGTGGGAAGGGAAGATACATATTCTATATCTTATAAGCATATATCTTGTATGTGTTGAAAATCTTTAAGATGATGAAAAATGAGAAACTGCTTTTAATCATGCAAACATATGTGAGAAGCTGGACATGTTGGGACACCCTTGTAATCCCAGAACTCCGGTGTCTGAGATGGAGGATCATAACTTCATAGTCAGCCTGGAATTATATAATGAGGCCCTGTCTCAAAAAAACAAGTTATGAGAATTTGTAGATAGGAGAGAAGTAACTGAATGAAAATCTTCTGCAACAGGCAAGAGTTAAGCTGAAATCTTAAATGCTAATGTGGTTCCACCAAGTAGAGGAAAGGAAATATTTTTAGACAGAGAAGGCTTTCAAGGAAAAAGAATAGCAAAAAAAATCAGACAACTAGATGAATTCACTGAATACAGGTAGTATATGTAAAGGAGTAAAATAAAATATATTTAGATTGATAAGATATGATTGGTACTAGACTAAGAGATGGCTTAAAAGCCAGTTAAAATTAGATTAAATAAGATTGATAATGCAAAAAATATTTATATCAGGAATACTTGGTATATATAACTATTGGGAACATTGGCATCATCAGACAAATCTACAGCTAAAAATTACTTTGGGCAAGTTACATACTTAGCATCTTTGCTTTAATTTTCTTGTTTTAAAAATAGAGATAATGGGGTAATAAACTATGTTTTCTGCATTATTGGGTTGATTGGATTAAATACTATAATGTTAATAATTTAGTTCATTGTTTGGAGTTTAGTAATTTACTAATTTATACTAGTAATTAAAACTTTAATTAATGTAAACTCATGTTTCGTGGTTGAAGACCGCTTTTAAAAAAAAGATGATGGAAGTTAAGCCTGAGTTGCAGCTGTTATACTGAAGTTCCTCTGTAAAAACTAAGGACATGAACATAAAGAGAAAAATCTACATTTAAATGAACAATATGAAGATAATAATAATAAACTAGAATGAATGAAAACATCACTTTAAGCTCACATGTTCCTAGAAATTCTGAAAGATGACATGAAGTTGTATGAATATGAGAAAGTAAAAATGTTCTAGGAAATACAAATTGTATGTGGGCTAGTAAAATCTGAGGGAAACAGCGTGAACACCATTTTAGTAACTCATGTACTTCTAAACTTAATTACCCTCCTTGCCTTGTTTTAGTTGGGCTGTAAGAAGCTAACAGGAAAATAAATGGATCTGGAAAGAATTTAAATGACCTGACCAAGGCCAAAATGAAAGCCACATTCTCTCTCATATGCAGATTTTAACTTTCAGTTTTTGCATGTGTGTAAATCAGTGGGAGGAGGTAGAGATTGGGAAACTAGATAGGAGACCACGAGAAGAACAAGAATAAGTACCGGGATAGGGGTGCATGCGCCATAAAAGCAGAAAGGAGTCACTGAGGTGGAAAGCTGTAAGATCGAGAAAGGGACTGAAGAAGGAAAACAAGACAAATTTTATTTGAAAAATATCATGATAAAAATGAGAATATAGTCTGGTTTTGGTATGCTGTTCATGTAGAGAGGCCCTTGTCAGTCGTGTACTACTGGGATTATTACCATTGATGTAAGTTCCATGCATATTTCACAGTGAAACTTTTTAAAGAGAAATAGGCTGAGATGTCTCAGCGGCTAAGAGCACTTGGTCTGCAATCATGAGGACCAGAGTTTGGAGTCTGAACCACCGGACCCATGTGACAAGTTGGGTGTTCTCTTTAAATGCCTGTAATGCCAGCTCCAAGCAGAGTGGAAGAAGGAGCATTGCTGGAGCCTGCTGTTTCCATCCTAGCCAGGAAGTAGCCCCAGCCAGATTCAGGAAGAGACCCTGCCTCAGAGGATCAGGCAGCGAGTCAGGAGGGACACACCTGACATCCTCTGCTGGTTTCTGAATAGGAACACATGCACGGTCATGCACACCCCCACACACTTGCACACACATTCACACTTCCTAGGGACGCTCTGCTGGCTGCTTCTGTCTCCTGGGGGATACCTTGCATGGTCTCTTCTGAGGTGGATGCCCTTTACTCCCTTAGATTGCAGCTTTAGTTCAGCTTATGTGGAAAATATTTGGCACCTGCCTTGCATGATAACCTCTTATTCTTTACATCAGCTCCATATTTGTTTCCTTCAAAGTACATATTACAATTTGGGATTTGTTTAGCTTTTCCCCTTTGTCTCATGCACGCTGAGTGAAAGTATGTCTTTTTTAATACTTAACCCTAGCATCTATTCAGGCCTAGTACTTATCAGGACATTTGGATTAGTAAGGCCTGCAGGTTGCAGATGGAAACTGAACTTTGTTTGAAGGACTGAGACTAGATTATCTGAATTCATCAATGGAAATAGAAGATAGGAAGAGGAAGACAAGTGAATTTTGCTGTCTTGAGGGAAAAGCAGTGAATTACTCACTAGGCTATTTACAGGGCCCATGGCTAGGATGTCGGAGGAGTAAACACAGCTATGTGGTTGCACATGTTTAAAACATGGAGTTTCAAGTGTGAGCACAGGAAGATGTGGACAGAAAAAACAAACTGTTGAGAAACACATAGGGGTCTTTTTATTTAAAATAAACTAGCTTCAGTACAATAGAAAAAGCTAATTCAGTCTATAGAGAGTTTCAATGGACTGAAAAAATTAGAGACATTATACAGAGCGTGTTCAGGACAGATGTAGAATAATATATGGAGTCTTGTTAATCATCATATTGAAGGTTAAGGTTATGTGGTAATTTTGTTGCTTATATAAAAGTTTTAGTTAATGCACTGTGACCTAAGATAGTTACCACTTAAGTTCAGATAATTACCTTTAAATTTCATTTCTTAAAACATTCTAAAACTACTAGAATTATATTTTCTATTAATTTTATCTGACTGAAAATTGAGGCTAGAGACAGGAGAGATGGCTCAGCAGTTAAGAGCCCTACTGGCTTTACAGAGAACCTGAGTTTGGTTCCCAGGACCCACTTTGGGTGACTCATAACCACCTGTAACTCCAGTTCGAAGGGCTCCAACACCTTCTGGCCTTTTGGGGCACTGGAATACATGTAGCATAAACCCGATATATGTATACACATGAATAAAAAATAAAATCTTGTAAAGATGATAATAAAGGTAGATTTTGATCACATAAAGAGGGAGGTTAAAATAACAACTTGCTGCTGTTTTCAGCTGGACATCATGAAGTTGTGGCTATAGGCACGGGTGAATACAACTACAGCCAGTGCGTCAAGCCGAATGGGAGGGTGCTGCATGATACTCATGCAGTTGTTACAGCAAGAAGGTCTCTCCTTAGGTAAGGTAAAGGATATATTAAAACCTTCAAATATTAATATTCTCAGACCATAGAATTTTCCCTGTTTTACAACTGGAAAGATACTTATAATAGAGCAAAGAATATGGCAACCTCTAATTCAAGTCATCCGATACTTTTGTGTTGCTGTGGTAACCTCACCATGGTAATTACAATGTCTTGTGTAGATTCTGGTGACTTCCTTGTGAACTAAATTTTAAGAGTCCTTCAAGATTATTGTTTTTGTTTTGTTTTGTTTTTTTGAGACAGGATTTCTCTGTATTGTTTTGGAGCCTTTCCTGGAACTTGCTTGGTAGACCAATCTGGCCTCGAACTCACAGAGATCTGCCTGCCTCTGCCTCCCAAGTGCTGGGATTAAAGGCATGCACCATCAACACCCAGCCCTACAAGTTTTTTTTAGAGTTAAAAATACCGTCTTTGAATGATTGAAGTTATTGGAAAGTGTAACTTAGGTTTGAACAAAATAAACTTGATCTTATTTCACTTCTAAATTAGAAGAGACACCATGACCATGGCAACTCTTATAAAGAAAACATCTAATTGGGGTGGGTCTCTTATAGTTTCAAAGTAGACTTAGATAGTTCCCATTATCATCACAACAGGGAACATGGCAGTGTGCAGGCAGATGTGCTGGAGCTGAGAGTGCTACATCTTGCTGGCATCAGGAAATCAACTGAGACACTGGGTGGTATCCTAAACATAGGAAATGTTAAAACCTGCCCCCACAGTGACACACTTCCTCCAATAAGGTCATACCCACTCCAACAAAGCCACACCTCCTAATAGTGCCACTCCCTGTGAGATGATGGGGGCCAATTGCATTCAAACTGATACTCAAAGGCATCAACCAGAAAAGCACAGGTTTCCTGTTAAAAATCCCAAACATAGTCTACTATTTAGCAGAGTATAAACAATATAATCCTTTAGATGGTTCTCAGCGTGTGGGTCACAACCCCATTTGGGGGGTGTTGAATGACCTTTTCACAGGAATCACATATCAGATATCCTGCATATCAGATATTTATATTACAATTCATAACAGTAGCAAAATTATAGTTATGAAGTAGCAATGAAACAATTTGTGATTTGGGATCACCACAACACGAAGAACTGCAATAAAGAGCTCAGCATTAGGAAGGCTAAGAACCACTGCTCTAGACTGATAGATCAGAAGAGAAGTAAAGGAGCTGAAGTCAGAACCCTCTTTTTTCCTCCCAGACCAATCAGTCATTCTCTCCACAAGAGGTAGGAGTAGCAGATGGTTTAAAATGTCCAAGGATGTTCTCATTAGAAGTTACTGTATATAAAAACATTAACAGTGAGAACTGAGTGTCATGTCCCATAATATACACCAATTTTTAATTCTCTTAAGCCATTATACTTCTTACAAACTTCTTACAAATTAGCAAATATCTAATCCAAGTCTAAGTGTGTCCTCATCCAGCTTTTTCAGTTATTAGTATTCTGCTACTCTTGTTTAATTTCTGCATTCTCACTGTTCTTTTCTTTGCTGGAATATTAAAAAACAGATTTAGACCTGTTTTACCTGAAAAATGCAGTTATCTCTAATTAAGAAAGAATTGTATAATCTTAAAATTTGTTAAAGAAGAATGCTGGGAATGTGGGTAGTGTGCTTGTTCTGCAAGCATAAGGACCTGCTTGCAAATCTCCAGAGCTCAAATACAAAGCTGGAAATGGCAGCACATTCCTGTGACCCCTACTTTAGGGAATAGAGACAATCAGATCCTCAGAGCTTGGTAGGCAGTGAACCTAGTCTAAACTGTAAACCAAACTGCCTTTCTCAAGGCAATAAGGGGGAGCAATTGAGGAAGACACTCATCACCTTCTTCTAGCCTTTCATGTGCACTGTCATGCATGCTTATATACGTAAACCACACATACAAGTACAACATTATTGTGAAGTTCATTAGGACATTGCAGCTCATGGTTGTTCATTCTTCTTGATACTGATGGAATTGTCTGACCTTCTTAATGCTACCTGTCAAGTTGGAAAGTGTTTGGCACTGTTACATACTGGTGTTTAATTATGTGTATCTGGTGATGGGAATAAATAGAGTGTGTCTTAAGGTCATGTTGTTTTGTAAAGTAGTATCAGTCCCTTACCGATTAGTTGCTGTCTTTAGGGTATCTACCTTACTTCTTAATACAATGAAATATTCCCTGTGTTGTATCTGTGCTCTTGGATTTTTCAACAGCCCTAAGAAACAGGCAGGAGCCACTGTTGGTGATGATAGTAGTTAAAATAGTAGGAGTAACTTAGCAAGTTGGATCTTCAGAACTATCTCAGTGGCTGAAGGAAGCCGAGGCAGACACCCACAGCTAAACACTGAACTTAACTCCTGGAAAACAGTCGCAGAGAGGAAGGAGTGATGAGCAGAGAGGAAGGAGTGATGAGCAAAGCGGTCATGACTGGGCGGGTGAAACCCACAGAAACAGCTGACCTGAATAAGGGGGAACTCATGGACCCCAGGCTGATAGTTGAGAGGCCAGCATGGAACTGATACAGACCCCCTGAACTTGGGTGTCAGTGAGGAGGCCTCAGCATTCCCTGGGGCCTCAAGCAATAGATCAGTATTTATCTCTGGCATCCAGATGGACTTTGGGAACCCATTCCACATGAAGGGATGCTCTCTCATCCTGGACACATGGGGAGGGCCTAGTCCCTACCCCAGATGATATGACAGACTTTGGAGATCCCCCATGCCTCACCCTCCCTGTAGAGTGGAGTGTGGATTGGGGGAGCTTGGGGGTAGGGGAGGAGAGAGGGAGAGGGAGCTGGGATCGACATGTGAAGCAAGCTTGTTTTTAATTTAAATAAAAAGATTTGAAAAAATATAAATCTGCAATAAATATTATTACTTAACAAAGTCACAATGTTTATTTTAGGTACTTTTATAGGCAGCTTCTACTCTTCTATAGCAAAAATCCTGCTATGATGGAAAAGTCAATCTTTTGTACAGAACCAGCTTCTAATCTGCTTACTCTGAAACAGAACATCAACATTTACCTCTACATGAACCAGTTGCCTAAAGGATCAGCCCAGATTAAGTCACAGTTGTAAGTATTATGGAAGTTCTTTTTAAAAGACACTAGTATAATGATCACTGTTTATATGTTCTGAAACCCCCTGTCAAACAGAGTAAGCTCATTTGTATTCATATTCTCTGTGTAGCCTTGAGTCATTTGTGGGCTTCAGAGCACCACAAAGCCCCCCCGCCTCCATTCACTCTGATCTAGACCATTGTTAAAAGTTAAAAGTACTCATGCCTTTTTTATTCTATTGACAAATCTGCTTTTAAGATTTTACACACTTTAGGACGTTATGGGTCTATGCAACATTCATATTCAAATATAGGAAATTAAAAACTTCTCTATGGTCAAAATGTCATTGCTTTGATGAATACATAGTATCAGGTTAGGTAAACTCTGAACAGTATAAACAGACACAGTGAAGAAAGAATAACATACCCGAAGTCTGACCATCAAGAAATAACCATGGGCAATATTTTAACTTTATATTTTATTAACATTTTACCATAGATGAATCTGAATAAAACTTTTTTCTCCTTCATCGTTTTGTAGTTTTATATCTTTTTATATTGAAGACGTTAACTCACAAATTACATGAACAAAAATTTCTGTTATTATTAGTGTTTTTTAAAGATAGGGTCTCATATAGCCCAGACTACCCTTGAATTCATTATATAGGCAAGGCTGGTCTTAAACTTCTTGGTTGGGGGCAGGGCAGATCAGGGGGTTGAGACAGCAGTTCACTGAATATCCCTGGCTGGCCTTGAACTTGCTGTGTAGACAAGACTGACCTCAAATTCATGGAAATCTGCCTGCCTCTGCCTCCCAAGTGCTGGAGTTAAAGGTGTATACCACCATACTAGGCCTTACCATCCTGTTTTTAAGGGACATAAAGAATGATGATAATAGAAAAATTGTGCTGAAGCGCTGTGTGTTGGTAATTTATTTTGCATTAATTTGGGGGGAAGGTGATGAATCCACAACTATTTTCTTTGTTTGCCTTTGTTCATGTTATTGGAATGAAGTGTGTGCTGGCAAATTAAACCTGTTAGAGAACGAGCCTTGAGAACATGCACATTTTACTTTTAACAAATTGGTATTTCTTTAAAAAAACCTTTTTTTCTCTCTCTAGACGCCTTAATCCACATTCTATTTCTGCGTTTGAAGCCAATGAAGAACTGAGTCTCCATGTGGCCGTTGAAGGCAAAATTTATCTTACTGTTTACTGTTCTGCTGATGGAGTTAATAGAGTAAACAGTATGTCCTCAAGTGATAAGTTGACAAGATGGGAGGTGCTTGGTGTACAGGGAGCATTGCTGAGTCACTTTATACAGCCAGTTTATATCAGCAGTATACTTGTTGGTGAGTTTTAGCACACTTTTGGATATGTTCAATGAAAAATATTTGACTTACCAGTATACAGCCAGATTTTGCATGCATGAAACTAATGTAAAAAGCAGAGATCACTGCTTGGTTAAGCTGTTTGTTTTGTAGTGACTAGATGTGATACTTATTTATTATATGACTTCTGTATCTTATAGGAGGCCAAGAAGTAACCTACTAGTGACATAGATTTATTCTGTCTTGAGCTTACAACTTCATTTACCTGAAAATGAACCTCATTTCTTTAGAGAAAAGATGGTCTTTTGAACCTCCCAAATCTAAATTTTTGCTACATTTTATCTTCTCTAAGAAATTAAATGCCCATTTTGGCTCCTTCTTATCTTTATATTATCTTAATACATTTGATCATTATGCAGATCCTTCTAATTGGTCAAATGTGTATGATTAACTAGAATACAATTAACAAATCATTTATTCATTTCCTAGGTAGAGGATGCTGTAGAATTTTGGAATTATACTTGAATGACTTTCCAGATAATATCTCATTGAAAAAGAGTTTGAGGCTCTTCTTTTAAGTTGGTATACAAAGTAATGGGATTCATTATGACATTTTCATATATGCATGTCATTATACTTATTTCTGTTGTTTATGTGTATTATAATTAGCACACACAATAATAGAAATGATGATATTTACATGCATGTATGTCATTGTCCCATGCTCATATTCAGTCTATTACCAATAGTTGCATCTTCTTTTCTCCCCCTCACCCTTTAGCTTGCATGGTGCGTGCGTGCGTGCGTGATTGCGTGTGTGTGTGTGTGTGCGTGCGTGTGTGATTGCATGTGTGTGTGTGTGTGTGTGTGTATTCATGCCATTACCATGCAGTTTTGTCATTATGGATAATTGGGGATCAGGTATTGTGATGGATTTAGTATTGTTCTTTTCACTTAGAATTACTTAGGGTATCTGATCTTTTGTGTGTCCATAGGAATTTTCTAATTATTTTTACTAATTTTGTATAGAATGCCATTTTTATTTTGATGGAGGTTGCATCACATTTGTAGTTTGGTTTTTGTTAACCATTTTTACGATATAAATTTTGCATATAGATGAAAATGAGAAGTCTTTCCATATTCTATCTTCCTCAATTTCTTTGTTTAGTTGTTTTAAAGTTTCATCTGCTTGGGTAGATTTATTTTAAATACCTTTTTAAAGCTATTGTCAATGATATTCTTTCCTTGGTCTCTTTCTCTGCAAGTTTGTCACTGGTGTATAGAAATGCTAGTAATTTTTTAAATGTTGATTTTTGTACCCTACTTTGAGAAAAGTTTTTATAAGATCTCTGTGCATAGAAGGACTTCCTTGTTTCATTGCTGTCTTTAGAGGAAACACCTTAAAGCTTTTCCCCAGTTAGTACAATGTTAACTGTAAATCTGTCATATAGACTGTGTTTCTTCTATTTTGATTTCTCAGGAATTTACTTATGGAGAAATACTGAACTTCGTGCAAGTTTTTCCTGATTCTATTTGAGATTATGATATGATTTCTATCTAAGTCTACTTATGTTCTGTATCACAAAGTATTCACATGTGTGCATACTAAAATATCCATCCTTAAATGCCTGGAATGAAACCAACTGAACAGGGTCTGTGTTTTTCATGTGTCATTGAATTTGGTTTGCAAGTGTTCCATTGAGAATTTTTACATCTGTGTTCTTTCAGGCAGTCAGTATATAGTTGTTGCTGTGTCCTTGCCTGGTTTTTGATGTCATAGAATGAACGTGGTAGTGTTTCATCTCTTTCTATTTTATAGACCAGTTTCAGGTCAAAGATGTGAAAGCTTTTAAAATATTACCAAATAGCCCCTGATTAACCTCGTCAGTACCTGGGGGAGGTACCTGTTCACTCACACCCCCAGTCATGTTCATTTGATACTTTGTAAGATTATATTGTTAACTAATGTTCTTACTGTTTTCAGTTTTAGTCAATTCAGATTCTTTCTCAAGACATTTTAAATTTTTCTAAATCTTCTGTAGCAGATTCTCTTTGTTCTAAGAAATTTGTGTGCATTCTCTGGAATCACAGATTTGGTGATCAGAGCTTTTGTTAAGTTTTATGATGATGTATTTAAAAATTGTTGTTTATATGATGTAATTTCACATTGTACTTATAATGTTGCTTAAGAGTATAGACACTGACTGATTCCTTTACATAGTTGGTTAGTGGTTTGACACAGGAGCATAAAAATTAGATCTGGTCATCTTGCACCTGGCAGGTCCCTCCCTGGGAGAGGGAGGGTAGTTATACAGGCAATGAAAATAAAATGGCTTTGGAAAATTGCTTCAGATTTTTCCTCTTAACATCTCTTTGGGTGTCAATATGAAAATAATTGATGGTCTGGTATAACCTAAAATGTTTATGAATAAGAAAACAAAGATTTCTTGAACTCATGGAATCTGTCCTATGAACCCAGAAACACTTTAGAGACTCTTTGGTGATTCTGACACAGGCAGTTGAATGGCTCACTGTTTTAGTAATTCTCACTTAAATGGCTGTATTCTAAAAGAGTGATTTGATACCTAGAAGATCTTGAGAGTTAATTGGACTTTATTTGTTGTATCATAGTTTCTTATCTAACATATAATACTTAGTAAATGCCATTCTGAATAGGTATTCCTCTAAGCCTAGTGTTAAAACAATCAGTAAAGTGGAATATAGGCATGAGTACAACCAATTGTGTTAATGGAGCAGCTCCAATTCTTTATAAACTTCTTCCGTTTGTATAATTGAGCTTTGCTTCCCTTCTAATTCTATAGCAATAGCATGAAGATTAACTTTAATTCTTTGAAGATGATTTTATCCCCTTTTTTCTTAAGACCCATAGAATGCTTATAATTCCATGAAAGCAATTTTAAAATTACATTTCATTTGTATTTGGTTCACATGTCACAGAATATATGTGCATATGGAGGTCAGAAGGAACTTGCGGGAGTTGGCTACCTCCTTCCACTATGTGGGTTCTGGGATCAAGCTCAGTAAGAGTTATGTCAGTAACCCTACAATTCTTTATATTGATTCTTCCAAGCCTATGTTAACTTAGCAGAATATGAATGCAAAGAACAGTGTATTTAATTTTTCATTTTAGTTTGGAAAGGCTTTTAGGGTATTTAATAGGAGTTTTAGGCTTAAATACAGAGCAAGAGGCATAACTAACCAGTCCTTTATTAGAGGTCTGGTTCCACCTGTCATTGTCTCAATTCTAGTTTCTCAATTCTGTGTCTCTTGAGAATACCTTCATTCTCTTCAATATTGTGCAAATACAAATGTTAACAAAAATGGTCATCCTTTGATTACTTTGTGTCCTGAAATCGGAACATTGTGGTCCTATAACATAATAGTTATAATGTGTGGTCATTAGGATTAAAAAATTACTTGGCTTTCACCAACAATCAGATGTTGATTTCATGCAGAAATCAGAAACTCAAGACAGAATGAGCAGGTTCTTTCTTGCAGAACTCTGTAAAAGGTACCATTTCTTGGTGGGTCAGTACTGGTTCTTTGCATTTTTTAACTTGTTTTTTTCTTTTATTCATGTGGGCGTTTTGCCTGCATGTGTGTCTGTGTACCATGGCCTTGAAATGCCTGAGGGAGCCAAAAGAAGATATCATATCCTCTGGTACTGAGTTACAGAGGTTGTGAGGGTCCTGAAAAAACAAACTCTGGTCCTCTGGAAGAATAGCCAGTGCTCTTAACCTCTGAGTATCCTCCAGCCCCTCGTTCTTTGCTTTTATTCACTAGCATTACTTATTTTTTCCTTTTTGAGCATTTTTAGATGGAAATTTTGTCATTACTTTATCCTAATTCTGGTGAAATATATGGAAATGACTGCTAAGAGGACAGATGTGGCATAGAGAAAATTAAGAGAAGTGAGCGTGGAGTATTTACAGTTAACCTGTTCCCATTATCTGTCTGTCTGTCTTTTTTAACACACAACCTTTTCTTTTGACCTTAAATTGCTGAGATTGGTTTGTTTTTGCTTTCTAGGTGATGGGAATTGCAGTGATACTAGAGGCTTAGAAATCGCAATAAACCAACGTGTTGATGATGCACTCACTTCAAAACTTCCCATGTTTTACTTGGTCAACAGGCCTCATATTAGCTTAGTACCCACTGCATATCCATTGCAAATAAACTTGGACCATAAGTCACTCAGTTTGAACTGGGCACAAGGGGACAATTCTTTGGAAATCGTGGATGGCCTAAGTGGGAAGATCACTGAAAGGTTAGAGTTACTGCTTTCTCTAAAAAATTACATAATAAGCAAAAGAAGACATTTTATTGAAATTTTACTTGTAGCAATTCTGTATATTATTTATTGGATTCTGAACAATTTATATTGAGTGTGACCAGGTTGCTGACATCATATTTATTATAAATTTCTGAATAATACAAGCTTACAAAGTTATATAGTAAGTGGTGAAGCCAGCATTCAAACCCAAGGAATCTGGCTCTAGACCCTGTGTTTGTTAAACCATTAGAGTCATAGAATTGGTCCTACCAAATATGAATTTCTGATCTGGGATTAGGAATCTGCATTTTTCACATTGTATCCCAAATATGATCACATAAGTGTGAGAACTATTATAACATGTTATGCCTCCTTCTATTATGATTGCCTTGTAAGTTGCATGTGGTTTTTCAATATTTTATCTGGCTACCAGTGTAGTAAGGATCACAAACTGGAATTTAATATGACAGACATTTTATTTCCAAAGGCATTATTGCTAACCATAATATTCTATGCCTTTTAGATGTTTCTTTGTAATATTCCTGTAGTTCATTATTGGATAAAAATAAAACCTTCTAGTAATGGATGCATGTACTTTTAAGATGCACAGTGAGAAGTGCTAAAAGTGTAATGCCCAGGGAGAAGCCTTTTTTTCTTTAGGATTATAGCCATGGTACGTTATCTTGCATCTAGTAAATAACCCTACACCCATGTACACACAAGCAGCCCTGAGTAAACCAGTATTCTGTTAGGGTGTCTTTTTTTCAACTTTACAAACTTTAAATGTCTTCCTTTTGGAAGGACATTTAATCAAGGCCAATATAACTATTTTTGGTATGAATATCATCAAGCTACACTTGATCTTAGCCAAAAGGTCGAGAAAAGCATACTACTTTGGGGTAATACTCAGGATAATGTCAAGAATAATACAGACTAGCACAACAAATACATTGTCTGGGCTTTGGATTATAAGTAGATTCAACCTTACACATTCAAACAAATTAGCAATGTTTTAAAACTCATAAAGCATGACAAAATGGAATAAACATTGTTAAATTAATTTAATTTCTTATTATGGTCTAGTGTTTGAAAATAATTACGAATAAAGCAGTGGATATATCCAACTCAAGACTGTGAATTTTAACCCCAAAGAATCAGCAAAGAAAGCACAGTCTAGTGGTGCTAACACTGTAATCCTGGCCCCAGGAGAAAGAAGCAGGGAAGGTTCTGAGTTAGACCAGCCTGGGCTTTTAACAAGTATCTCAAAGACTCTGTCAAAAGAAAATTTATTTAAAGGCAGGGTCCCACTATCTAACCCTGGCTGGTCTGGAACTCATCAGTCCTCTGCCTACAGAATGCTGAGATTCCCAACTTCCCAAAACACGTCCTATTTTTTTGAGTTATGTATATACTGCATTTTTATTATCCATTCTTCTGTTGAGGGGAGTTTAGGTTGTTTCCATTTCCTGACTGTTGCAAATAGAGCAACATTGAACATGGCTTGCCAAGTATCTGTGGAGTAGGAGGATATCAAGTACTTTAGGTATATACCCAGGAGTGATATAGCTAGGTCATATGGTAGATAGATTGATTGATAGTTGACAATTTTCCATACAGATTTCCAGAGTGGTTCCACTAATTTGCATTCCCATCAAAAGTTATTAAGGGTCTGCTTTCTGCACAGTTTCCCTGGCATTTGTTGTCAGTTTTGTTTATATTCACCATTCTGTCAGGAGTGAGAGGAAATTTCAGTTTTTCAGTTTACATTTTCCTATCTGCTAAGGATGATGAACATTTTCGAGGTATTTCATAACTACTTATGAATATTCGAGGTATTTCATAAGAAGGCTTAATGGTTAAGAGCAGTTGCTGATTTTATAGGTGAGAGTTTGAGTCCCAGAACCCTCATGGGGTTGCTCATAACTACCTGTAACTCCAATTCCAGAGGATTTGACTCCCTCATCTGTTTTCCAAGGATACTTATCAAGAACATGTACATATATTCATATACACATTCAAACACACACATATAAATAAAAATAAAAATTTTAAGAGCATTCAACTATGTGTGTGTGTGTGTGTGTGTGTGTGTGTGTGTGTGTGTTTTAAGACATAGAGGCTATATATAGCTCTATATAAGCTAGCCTAAGTTTTTCAGTTTCTTAGCCTGCTAAGTGTTACAGGCAAGAACCACCATCTCTGTCATGAATCCACCAATCCTTACATGAAGAAATGCATCTTGCATCATGAAACATGTTAAAAGATTTCTTTCCAGCATACACACAAAACTTACAAAGAAAGCTTCTTGATAATGAAAACTGCAACAAAAATAGCAGCATATTAAAACGCTTAGATATTGTATACAACAGTACTAATTGAAGTTTTTCCACAGTGTAAACACGGTAGCAGAGGTGACACCAAATTATAAATTCATATTTATCACCATTACTCATATAATTTTTCTACTAAAGCATATAGCAAAGATATACTAAGGAGCAAAGTAAAAAGAAGGGTAGTAGACGGCTTCTTGAAGGACTCAAAAACATTGTGATGACTGGTGATGAGATGTCAGGGTGATTGTTTACTCTTACTGCTGTTGCATAGCATCATATGTTGGATGAGAAACAAGTAGAAACAAAATATGGTGGAAAGGAGGTAAAACTACCACTGTTATGAGGGATTTTGAGATTGAACCCCATACCTCACAAACATTAGGCATATGTTCTTCTTCTGTGTACCCCAGTTCTGCTGAAAATCTACCAACACTAGATACATATACGTGAGTGCATGCTAGCATTTGCTACAGATGAACTACCTCAAAGTTCAGTGATTCAATGCAATAGTATATTATTACTTCTCAATAAATGTTTGGGTCTGCTGAGTGATTCTTCTGGATGTGGCTAGAACTTCCTCAGGATCTGGAGTCAGGTGTGGGTCAAATAAGTCACTTTGGTTGATCTCTTAGAGGAATAACTGTTCTTTTCTCTTTAGTAAGTTGCTCAGAGCACACTTACCTGAACAAGAAGAAGCCTCAAGAGCAGAGCACAGGATTCCCCTGAAACCTAGACTCTGAGTTTGCACAAAGCTAGCACAAATTCAAGGGGGTATATGACTCTTGAAAAGCTACATGGAAACCAGAACAGCTAATAAGTTATAATGGGAGGGGGAAATTACTTAGTAGGAAGGGTTGTGATCTGTGAACCTACTTTTATTAAAAGAGACCAATAATTCATGTGCATGCACACACATACATATGGATAGCTTTGAAGTAGTGTTTTCTAAATTAAAGTTTGCTTGCAGAGAATGCACTGTACAATTTCAGGAGATGTGTTACATATATCTGCCCAGGTCACCTATTGCTGTAGTCAGAATTCAGTAGCTGTTACCACTCCAGCAGGTGTGGTATTTCCACACTCCCTTTCAGTCAAACATGGAACAATAACTGCTTTGATTTGTATTATCATATATCAATTTTACTTCAAATGATAGAAATATTCAAATACAAATACTCTGTTTTAACCTTTGATGTAATACAGTAATAAATTAAGTTAAATTAGTTTCTGACAGCAGTTAAGTACTTGGGATGCTTCTTACCTAAAATAAAGCTCACTACATGCATTCTTCTGCCTAATTGGGATCATAAATATTTGTGAACTGTTATTTAATCCCTACAGTTGCCAACATAAATCATTAACTATGATTACTGCGTGTTTCATTCCTTTTGACTTTAGTTCCCCATTTAAAAGTGGTTTGTCAATGGCAAGTCGGCTTTGTAAGGCTGCAATGTTAAGTCGATTTAATCTGCTTGCTAAGGAAGCTAAAACAGATGATTTACTTGAAGCTCGGACATACCATGCAGCTAAGGTAAGGTGACCTTTGAAGTGCAGTGTTGTTGTTTGTTTTTTTTTTTACTCTTTCCTCTTACTCTTTTGACTTTTGTGGGGCCTACCATCCAGTTCCTAGATACACACACACACACACACACACACACACTCTGAGTCTTATTCTTTCTTATGAATGTCCAGCCTTAGCTTTACTTGTTTCTTGCCAACTTTTGTTAACTTAAATTTTCTCATCTACCTTTTGCCTCTAGGCTAGTCCCTTTTCTCACTTCTGTGTATCTGACTTTCACTCTTATTCTGCAGCTGGCTGGGTGACTGGCCCTGGGTGTCCTCCTCTCCTTGTTCTCTTGCTCCTGATTTCTCCTCCTATTTATACTGTCAGCCCTGCCTATCCTTTCTCCTGCCTCACTATTGGCAGTTCAGCTTTTTGTTAGGCCATTAGACGGGCAAAGTAACACAGCTTCACAGAGTTAAATGCAACGTAAAGGAATGCAACACATCTTTGCATCATTAAAACAAATATTCCATAGCATAAACAAATGTAACACACTTAAAATAATACTCCTCAACAGTATAGCTATGGGCAACAATATGGTGGATCTATGGAGATAGCAAAAATTTGTTAAGTAGTTCTGAATATAACATTATCACACTTATTTTGACAATATTGTTTAATACTTTTTTGTTATGCCCAGAGAATCAAAGGTAATAAAACTTTTTACCCCGCACGGCATTATTAACTGTGGAATGTTAATGTTAAGTCTTACAGTAGTATATTGCGCAAAATAAGTTTAACTCAGGACCCTAATTTGGACATGATTTAGCAGACATACAGATTTTTTCTTTCTAAACAAAAGTTAAGATTGCTTGTACATGCAAAACAAGCATTGAGCTAAAGTCACAGCACATACTGGATTTTATTTTTTTCTGCGTTAATTTACTATGACATGTACACACTCCCATGTTATCATTAGTATTTTAATTTTCTGATTTTAATAATACAATGTTGTATGAAAGTCTGTTAATTTTTGCCAGCATTAAAATGACCAAACCATACTTTTGAGCTGCAAAGCAGTAATATCAACTATAAGCCTATACATATATTCCCATTTAAGTTCTATCCACTATAAGTCTGTGCACACATTCCCTCTTACAACTAAGTATAAGCTCCTCTAGATCATTGTTGTCTTCAGTGATGCAAAGAGTCTACAGGTCCTTTTGTAAAAACAAGTATAAAAAATGAAAATGTCAAAACAGACTTTCATAACTCTAGAAATGAATTAAGGCTAGAAAAATTCAAATATCAAAACTATATATTGTTGAAGAAGTGCTAAATAAGAAAAATGAGTTTATTGTCTTGCTTGGAACTGTTTTCATGTCTGTAGTTTGAATGGTGGAGTGTAGCTTACCAGAATGAAGACATCACTAAAGTCATAGATTTACAGTCAGAGGGGATGGTCTTGATGTGAGACAGGATAACAATTTGTGGTTTGTTTGTTTTTTCAGCTTAAGCCAAACATGGTAGAAATGAATAGGAAAAGCTGGTGAATTTACTGGCTCAAGTTGCAGTACCTATTGGAGGCAGGTGGTAAATCTTGTTACCAAGATGGCATGGGAAAAGTAAAGGACTGGAGTAAACTTGAAGTTCCGTATTCTCTGGTTGATGGGAAGAATAAAGATCATATAGAGGACAGACAGGTTCAAGAAAAACAGGCAATGAACAAAAGCCAAAGAATACTTAAGATATGGGTGCAATTTTAAATATACCCACTTCTTCACGCAAGTTTGCCGGAAGATGGCAGAAGCCTTGAAGTTCTGATGTATTTGAGTACAATATCTGCTGTTACTAAATCATTTATCTCTAAACTATAGAAACACGGTAACCCCTGGGATTCTAGGACTAGTGTAAAACTAAAGTAGAATAAAAAACTAGGATGAGACCATAGCAGCTGTATACCTCTCACAGTAAAAGCAGGAGAACTTACAAATAAAACATAAACATCACAGAAAATATGTTCTGGCCACTGTAGCATTAAAATATCAATTAACAGTAGAGTGAAATCTGGGAAATTGTTATATATTTGGAAATTAACTTATGGATTACCAATGGTTTCTAGGGAAAAAACTTTCAAAAAAACTAATATCTTAAAATGAGTTAAAAAACACAATGTATTAAAGATCATGAATGATAAAAAATAGGAAAATTATATAGATTTAAATGCTTATATTAGGAAAGAATCCTAAAATCAGTTATTTAAGCTTCCAACTCAAGAAATTGGTAAAAAATAAAAGTGGGGGATGGGGAAAAATAAATGAAATAAATGATATGGATCAGAGTGGAAATCAATGAAATTTGAAACAAAATTAATAGAAAAATAAATGAAATCCAAAATTGGTTCCTTAAAAGAAATAAAATTTAATCTCTTAGTGATCAAAGGAGTGTAAATGAATTATTGAAAGCTGGAATGAAAAAAGTCTCACCGTTACAGATCACAAGGCGCCATTGTGTAGGATTTCCAGCAGCTGCTTGTTAATAAGTTACCTGTGGAGACCAGAAGAGGGTGTCAGATCCCTTGGAGCTGGGGTTAAGGTGGCTGTGAGCCACTGATGTGAGTGCTGGGAATCAAATGTGAGTCTTCTGGAAAGCAGCGAGCACTGTTAGCTCTGAGCTCTCTCTCCAGCTCCTGAATAAGAACAATATAAAAATAAATTATGTAATTACATCCTAAGAATGAATATTCCAAAAATCTATTTTAGAAAGCCGTTTCACACAGCAGGAAACACACAGGTCCACACACAGTGATAAATTTAACAAAAGAGTTATAAGACTTTTTACACTAGAAATATAAAACATTGCAGAGGGAGATAAAGATGTAAATAAGAGGATTAACAAATTCATGAGTTGGAAATCTCAGTGTTGTTAGGATGGCACATGTCTTCAAATTTAATCTACTGCTTCAGTGCAAAAAGCAATGTTGCTGCAGACATTTGTGTAGAAAATGTGCTGGTTGTGAGGCTGAGGGCAAAATCCAAAAGTCACAGAAAATCAGAGCAATTTTGAGCAAGAACAAAGTTGGAAAACTTACCTGTTTCACAATTTAAGCTAGATGTACCTTAGAAACTGCAGACTTGTTCCAGTCACACAGAGTTGTATGGCCATGTGTGTAATAGTTAACTTTGTATAATACTGTAGCCTATTAAGTTCATTGGTAACATTATTTCTTTAAAACACTTTTTAAATATTTCTAAAAACAACAAAAACTTAGTGAGTTGATTTGTCAGTGGAGGGTCTTGCTTCCATATAGATGGTTGCTTTTTAGAAATAGGACCTCAGTATATAACCTAGGCTAAATATTGTGCTATCCTGACATAGTAGAGTGCTTACTGTATTAATCAACTTATATGAAACTCCCAGGAAAATGAATCTAGAAACAGGAAGATGTGTAGTTCCTGAGGCTAGGGCCAAAGGCGGGGATACAGACTGAGTGCAGGCAGGCAAAATGGAATTGTTAGAGGTGGTGAAGTTTACTACTGGATTTTGGTAACATTTGCACATGTCAGTAACTTTTAACAAAGAACAGATTGTACACTTGCAGTGGGTGAGTTTTACAATAAATCATAAAAAGGTAGCTTTTTAAAGACATATGCAGAAAACAAGGACATATGAAAATAGCAATGGTAGTTACCTATAGTTTTAGGTCATACTTTTGTGTTTCTTTCAATTTTTCTGTCATGAATTTGTTTATATTTAATTAAAATGTTAAATAATCAAAGTCACATTTTTAGGTCTGTTGAGAAATAATTGTTTTAAATTAGTACAGGAGTTCAGAGTTTTTTCCATTTGGTTTCTTAAAAGCATGACGTTTAACAGTATGGGGCTATTTACTCTGTAGGCCAATTCAATTTAATTTTCTCTCTCTCTAGTGTATGTCTGGACCCTATCAAGAAGCTAAAGCACTATTGAAGTCCTACTTGCAGCAGCATGGCTATGGCTCCTGGATTGTGAAGTCTCCCTGTATAGAGCAATTTAGTATGTGAATTAGACAGCACATTGTCATATTAAAAATCTTTTATTTTTGATGTGTTTGACTGATAAAAATGTTTTAAAATATTGAGGCTTCAGCCTTAATAGTAGAAGTCTTGTAACAATGCCCAGACATTGATAAAAATGTGTAAATACCCATGTCACCTTGTATTGAAACATCATGCTCCTTTGCCTTTTATAAAAAGTTACCTGATTAAACATGTAGACATTTTCTATTTATTTTTTCCTTTTTAAAATTTAAATTAGAAACAAGCTTGCTTCACATGTTAATCCCAGCTCCACTGCCTCCCCACAAGGCCCTCAACCCCACCTAATCCCCACTCCATTCCCCAGGGAGGGTGAGGCCCTTCATGGGGCATCTCCAGAGTCTGTTCATTCAAGGCAGAGCCTAGGCCCTCCCCCAAGAGTCCAGGTTGAGAGGGCATTCCTCATTGTGGGATGGGCACCCAAAGTCCATTTGTACACCAGGGATAAATACTTATCTATTGCCCAAGGCCCCATAGATTGCCTAGGCCTCCTCACTGACACCCACATCCAAGGGGTCTGGATCAGTCCCATGCTGCTGGCCTCCCAACCATCAGTCTGGGGTCCAAGAGCTCCCCCTTGTTCAGGTCAGCTATTTCTGTGGGTTAAACCAGCCCAATCTTGACCCATTTGCTCATCAGTCCTCCCTCTCCGTCACTGGATTCTAGGAGTTGAGTTCAGTGTTTAGCTATGGGTGTCTGCCTCTGCTTCCATTAGTCACTGGATGAAGGTTCTGTTCCCCAGACTCTGGCAGTGGGATTGTAGGTTGGCACTCCCCTAATCAATGTCTAAAATCAATATATGAATGAGTACATACTATGTTTGTCTTTTTGTGACTGGGTTACCTCCCTCAGGATGGTTTGTTCTAGATTCCATTGTTTTTTTTCCCACTGAAGAGTACTCCACTGTGTAAATGAGCCACATTTTCTCTATCCACTCTTCAGTTGATGGGTATATAGCTTGCTTCCAGGTTCTGGCTATTACAAATAATGCTGCTATGAATATAGTGGAACAGACGTCTGTGTTGTATGAATGTGCATCTTTTGGGTATATGCCTAAGAATGGAATTGCTGGGTCTTGTGGTAGACTGATTCCCATTTTTCTGAGGAATCTCCATACTTATTTCCAAAGTGGCAGTATGAGTTGACACTCCCACCAGCAGTGGAGGAATGTTCCCCTTTCTCCACATCCTCTCCAGCATAAATTGTCTTTGGTGTTTTTGATTTTAGCCATTCTGACAGGAGTAAGATGGTATGTTTTGATTTGCATTTCCCTGATGGCTAGGGATGTTGAGCACTTTCTTAAGTGTCTCTCAGCCATTTTAGACACCTCTATTGAGAATTCTCTATTTAGATCTGTGATGGGGGGAAGTCCTGTACATTTGTTAATAAAGCACTGTTGAGCCAATAGAAATCTAGATAGGTGGGACTAGGAGTCCAGGAGATTTCTGGGAAGGAGAAACACAGGAGAGTTCGAGATGTAACCGCCATGGGGTAGGAAGCCCGGAACTATTCTCCGGTAAGAGAAATACTTAGATTAACAATTATGGGGTAATTACTTAAGTCAGAGCTAGCCAGTAAGAAACAAGCAAGGCCAACAGCTTCATAATGAATATAGCCTCCTGTGTGTTTATTTGGGACTGATGTGGCTCTGGAACCAGGCTGGCAGGAAAGGCTTCTCACAAAGAAAAAGCTTCTCTTTACAAAATGGTTGTCAGGAGCGGGATTGAATTTCCATGCAAAATAACAAAAGATTTAAAGGAATTTTAGAAACAGAAGAACGTTGAGAAGCACAGATTTTTGGTAGCAGCATTTTCTCAGGTGGGCTCTGTTTTGCTATCGACAACCCGAGATTCACATGGCTCGCTTACCGGAGTCTTCCTGACTGGGCATAAAAAGAAAAAAAAAATCAGCTAGCAAGGTTGTTTTACGAGACTCTGCTAATGATTAAAAGGGGTGTACGTACAACTGGAAGTGGCAGCTTTTGCTGGATGTCAGCATGGACTGAGGCGGTAAGCTGCAATCACGCTTATGCCCGCCATCTTGAAAACAGCAGTTTAAAACAGCCGTGGTTTTAACAGATAAGACACGTGGCCAGAAAAACATAAAGATTTACAGTAAAGTCAGACTTGGATGAACAAAACCTCTAAAGGTTTACAGTGTGTTTAAAAACATACGTGAGATTGAGAGAGAAAATGAAACGACAAAGTGGTAAATAAATAAAAAAGCCAGTGTTGTGGCGCACGCCGGTAGGATTTACTCCAGAGGCAGAAGCAGGCAGATTTCCAAAGAGAAACCCTGTCTCAGAGAAAAATAAATAAAAGTAAAATAAATAAAGTAATAATAGATAAATAAATAAGCCACGCAAAGATGGAAAATACACGGAGAGTCTGGATACTGTACGCTATTGTATTTTTCAGTTTTATAATTGCTCAGGAAGGAACAGCTGCTAAAGTACACTTGATTATAAATGCTGCTGAATTAATTCAACTTATATCTTTTGAAAATGCCTTGACTTCAAAATTTAAGAATAAGGATATGTTACTTGGAAAAGGAGATTTTGCTTATGTTTCTACAGAAAATGAAAAGCTGAGGATTCCTTCCAGGCTTCTGTGGTTTGACGAACCAAGACCCCCGGAAGCAGTGGAGCAGGTGTTCCAACAACTGAAACAGCTAAGATGATGGAGCTTTACAGACCCTGAAAATAAGGACTTATACAGATTTCTGAGTTTTGTCATGATCCCCATGGTATGAACAGTGCCCCTTCCAGCATGAAGCAGTTTGGAATGAGCGACGTTCTAATTCCCATCTTGTTTATAAATCTTTGTTTTCATTTAAATGGGATTGTTTATAATTGGTTAATGATCACAACCAATCTCCTTTTAATGGTAAAAAGGGGAATTATGGTATGGGTATTGTTTTTCATTTATTGATGCAAATTCAAGGTCAATTTTGTGATGTGTATATTTCTCCTCTTGATTAAGTATTGTGCTTATACTGATCTTTTAAAATGTAATGCATAATTGAATAAAGACTATAGATAGTTACTTATAATAGAACTTATAGTTAGGTAAGTTAGGTTTTCTAGATATATTTGAGATAGATAGGCAATCTTCAAACCTTTCAAAGACCTTCAGAAAATGGCATTTAAAATGGTTTAGGGTTTTTCTTGACAATGAGAAATGTCTGCTCCTGGCAGCACCAATTATGTCTGAGAGGAAGATGGGCATCGAAGAAACTTGTTATGGAGTTTGCTTTCAACATGGCAAGATTAGCCATTTGGGCAAGAAACTGCGCTTGCCTGTACTACTTGACTGTTGTTGTATAATCTGGACATGCAAGACCCACAGAAAAGTGACTGCTGAAATCAGTCTTACAGGGTTCTTGCTTCATGGAAGAGTCTACCAGACTTTCTGCAGGACACAGAAAAATGACTGACAGACTGCCAATGCTGATGGACAGTTTGAAATTTCCTGCTTTGCTGAGAAGTGGCCTCTGGGCTGAAGATGGATGCCCCAACATTACAGAGGAACTTTGGGTGACTGTCCAGGCAGTAAGATATCTCTGTCAATCCTAGTGTTTACATATTATCCTTCTGTGGTCTTTGATGGAGTTGAAGACAGATAGTTATACTTACAGTTTTCCTTAGCTATGATAAAAGATAAGCTACATAGAACTTTGGACTCACAAGGATGGGATGGATGATATTTTCTTTAAATCTTGCTAAAATATTGTAACTATGTTCTTATTTGATAACTGTTCTGTTATATGCAATTTGACTATGTTAAAGTTAAGACCTTTCTTTTTGTTTAAACAGAAAAGAGGAGATGATGGGGGAAGTCCTGTACATTTGTTAATAAAGCACTGTTGAGCCAATAGAAATCTAGATAGGTGGGACTAGGAGTCCAGGAGATTTCTGGGAAGGAGAAACACAGGAGAGTTCGAGATGTAACCGCCATGGGGTAGGAAGCCCGGAACTATTCTCCGGTAAGAGAAATACTTAGATTAACAATTATGGGGTAATTACTTAAGTCAGAGCTAGCCAGTAAGAATCAAGCAAGGCCAACAGCTTCATAATGAACATAGCCTCCTGTGTGTTTATTTGGGACTGATGCAGCTCTAGAACCAGGCTGGCGGGAAAGGCTTCTCTCAAGGAAAAAGCTTCTCTTTAAAGATCTGTATCCAACTTTTTAACTGGATACTTTGGTGTTTTGGAGACGTGCTTCTTGAGTTCTTTGTAAATTTTGGAGATCATCCCTCTGTCAGATGTGAGGTTAGTGAGTATCTTTTCCCATTCTGTGGGCTGCCTTTTTGTCTTGACTGTGTCCTTTGCTTTACAGAATCTTCTCAGTTTCAGGTGGTCCATTTATGAATTGTCGATCTCAGAGTCTGTGCTACTGGTGTTATGTTCAGGAAGTGGTCTCCTATACCAATTCGTTCAAGGGTGCCTCCCACTTTCTCTTCTAACAGATTCAGTGTGGCTGGATTTATGTTGAGGTCTTTGATCCATTTGGACTTAAGTTTTGTGCATGGTGATAGACATGGATCTATCTGTAGTCTTCTACAAGCCAGCATCCCGTTATGCCAGCACCATTTGTTGAAGATGCTTTATTTTTTCCATTGTATAATTTTAGTTTCTTTGTCAAAGATCAGGTGGTCATACGTGTATGGGTTAATATTGGGGTGTTCAATTCCATTCCAATGGTCTACCTGTCTATTTTTGTGCCAATACCAACCTGTTTTCAGGACTATAGCTCTATAATAGAGCTTGAAGTCAGGGATGGTGATGCCTCCTGACGTTGCTTTGTTGCAAAACAGGGTTGTTTTGGCTATCCTGGATCTTTTGTTTTTTCATATAATGTTGAGAATTGCTCTTTCAAGGTCTGTGAAGAATGTGCTGGAATTTTGATGGGGATTGCATTGAATCTATAAATTGCTTTTGGCAAGATTGCCATTTTACTACGTTAATCCTACCTATCCAAGAGCATGGAAGATCTTTCTGTTCTTTAATTTCTTTCTTTAAAGACTCAAAGTTTTTGCAATACAGGTCTTTCACTTGTTTGTTTAGCATTACCCCAAGGTATTTTTTTTGTTTTTTTGTTTTTTGTTTTTACAAGACAGGGTTTCTCTGTATTGTATTCGAGGCTGTCGGTCAAGCCCAGCCTCGAACTCACA